AATTAAAAAGGCTAAGAAAAAGTTACAAGTTTAAAACCATAAATATAGCATTTATGGTAAATTGTTAGCATTTTTATAGCTTACTTGTGAGGAAGTGTCTTGAAGTATGGTCATAAATTCAAATCTTTATAAACAATAAAAAAAAATGTATTTATTAACATTAGTCAACACTAGGAAAAATGTTGGTGTAGTATATACTTAAATTTAGGGATGCACATGTGACATATATAAAACTCATTGTCTGGAATATTATCCATTTTCCCTTTCCCAAAATCACTAGCCAAATTTACCTTTATTTTCACCACAAACTCCATCCCAAAAACCGTACTTCCACAAAAAAATAAAAGCGTCTCTGGCCTACGTAGAATTAAATCATTAAAAAATAAAAGTCTAAGAATGATGGAGTTTGATGGGTGTTGTGTTTGAATGTTCTTCCAATAAGTTAGTGAAGGTGGAGGCACAAGTCTGGTAGCAGCAGGACGATTGTAACAATATGGAGGACATGTTCATGGCATGAATGATTTGATGATGATGGAAATATTTGCATGAATTTGGGGGAAAAAGTGATGTTCTAATGCTAGGGTTTCGTGATTGGGATAATTGGAACCAAGTATGGTGTGATTTGGAATTGGAGCTGAGTAAAAAGCGTTCAGCAAGTTAGCTGTAAAGATGCTGGAAGGTTTGTTGTCTTGCCAAAGGAAGAGATATCAAGTTCTGTGGCTACATTAATTTCATAAGATTAATTAAAAAATGATTATAATTTATAAACATAATGAAGTTGATTTTGTTTTTAATACAAACAAGCTCTAAAATGACATCACTCTAACGTAAAAATCTTTCAATAATTGATCTGCGTGAGTATATACTATATCAATATTTTTGTTAGCATTAACTAATGTTAATTAATACAAGAAAAAAAATAATTGAAGGATTAAAAATTTAAAAACTTCCAAAGTATTTTTTTTTAGAACTAAAATAACAAAATCATGATTTTATAAGGACCAAAATTTTAATATAATATAAAATAAAATGTACCCTTTATGTTCATTAATTTTGCTCGTTTAATAATTATTTGGGAACACTTATTTTAAGAAAAAAAGTTACTTGTTTGCATAAAAAATCTAAAAAAAATTAATTATATCTCAACATATACACTGAATAAGAATGAAACATACTACGTTTTCAATCTTATCTCCATTTCTATTGTATAATTTAAATAGCACTAAACATAACGTATAGCTCATATTGTACTTAATTTCGATGAAATACGGCGAACACTTTAATATATATATTGGCCTCTAAAAGTGATGTTATATATTTTAATTTTTAAATTTATTATTTTATAGCATTTAATTTTAAAATATATTAACTTGATTTTATTTGCTTGTCAGAAAACTAACTGATCTCTAGAAAAACTGTTATGTATAATTTAATCTGTAAATATGTTAATTTAATTTATATTTTAGTTGAATTTTTATAAAAGAAAAAGATGTAAGTAAATAAAATTATGAACATATTTAAAGATTAAATTATATAGAATAAAATTTGTAAACATTAAAGATAAATTAAGTAGCAGTTTAAGAATAGAAATGAATTACCTGCTCCGATGCCAAATGGACGTCAGGGAAATTTTCCTAATTCGCGGGTACATTAACTTGGGCGTACATTAGCATCATCAATCATCGTCAGTCACACTCAGCTTTCGGCATAACCCACTTGGCTTTATCATGGCCGCCACTTAATCGTCACTTTGCAAATTATTTTTTATTTTCGGTGCAAATAATATTCAGTAACAACATCCCATCCAAATATAACTATTTTCCCTCCAAATCCATGGTTAAAAAGTTGTAACATTTTTAAATCAATAATAAATTATTTAATAAAAGTCAGATTGTATTAAAAATCATCATCAAATTTATTGTTGGTATTTTAAAATGTTTAACTGTCATTTCTTATCAGTTATTACTTATTTTTCTAATTAGGTAAATGATTTAATTAAAGGTCCATTTAGTATACTTTTAATACATAAAAATTCAAAGTTATTGAAATAAAATAAATAAAAGTATAAAAATATGTAAATTATTTTATTATATTTAAATAAATTATCTATTATGTACTAATATATGAATCATCTATTTATTTTAAATAATTTTAATGAAAAATATACATGGTCTAGACAAAAATAATAAAAAAACCTATCTATAAATAAATAATTTGAATTTTTCTTAGCACTAACGTATATTTTTGGTAGACAAAACTATACTAAATTATATAAATAAAAAAGAATTTTGATCCCTTAAACACATTACTCTTGATGTTACTTAGACTAAGTAAGAACTGAAAAAAAAGTGATTTGAAAAGGCAGAGAAGAAAGTGGAAAGAATGAATCAAGTTGAATGATGAATATGAGATGGCATTCAAAGAGAATATTTAGATTAAAGAAATATTCAAGAATGGGTACTCTAAGTTATTCCTCATGACTTTGACTTATGAAAAAAAGTCCAGGCGATCTGATGGACCAAGTGATAATTGTCTTGAAGCAAACAGAAAAGAGGAAGAAGTTAAATTAGCACTTGTCATGAAAAGTAAGTGTCATTTTAAACGGATACAGAGATACATGTATCTGCTTCCTTTGTCCATAAAATGCACAAGGCGTCGGGGACTAAGCCTATAAATAATTCCATCTATTTTATTTCATGTCAAGCAACTTGTTCCTCCTATCTTTCTTCCAAACCTATTATAATACCATTTTTAAATATAAATGTTTTAACAATTAATTCAATTTCTCTTTTTACAAAGAAAAATGTATTGTTGAAAATAATAAACAATTACCTGACAACTATTACTTGGTTCACATTCTCCGATAAAAAGTATAAATTTTGTTTGTTAATTGTTAGAAGACATGTCTAAGTTGCACCGGCCGAAGGGGACAGGTTTGTCCGAGGAAAATAGATAAGTAATTTATTTTGTCTGTCTTCATGTTGTGGCATAAAATTTGATGGAATATTAAAATATATATATATAATTATATTAATTAGATATGGAACCATAACAACAGTGCTAGGTTGGATCAAGAAGCAGCCATTTTTAATTGGTAGCTGTGCGGAGAATCCTCGACCAAATCAGTTGACCTGATTATGAGCATCAGAAAAAAAAACGATATTTTGTGATATCAAATTTGTGATATTAATTTTATATTTATACACAAATATTTATTCAGTCTTCTAGAGTATCGTCATTGTTTTAATTCTTTAAACAATATCATTTTCAAATATAATAATAATTTAGTTTCTATGTTTAATACTTTTTTTTATCTTAGTCTTGGTATAATAGTATTATTTTGTTCGTTGTGTAAAAAAAATATTTATGTATCAATTCTAATTTTTATTATCAAATATTAAAATAGAATGCTTTTTTTCTTTTAATCATTGTAAACTTTATTTTGATTCTTAAGTATAAACATTTAATATTTTAATTTTCTGATGTATTATTTTTATTTTGTCTCTTATAAAAATACACTAGCACTAATAGCTTGAATAAATAGTGTAGACTAATTCTAATTTTTTATATATAAATAAATATGTACCAATTTTATATAAAAACTAAAATATAAAATAGGTCGTGCATATATATAGTCTAAAATTATAATTTAATGTTAATTATTTAAATATAAATTATCATCTTGTTATTCTTTTAATTGATAAGTTTTTTTTGTGATTAAATTAGTCTTTTGAAAAATTCATTTATCGCTAAACTAGTCTAAATAAATTAATTCTTTTTAAAGACTAATCTAGTAACAAAATATTATAAGACTACTGATGATGTATGTATCTTTAAAATGTCAAATTGAGATTATTCTGTATTATTCAAAATTATATAATAAATTAAGTAATGCATTAACTACATTTTAAAATGTAACATTATCAAGATTTTTTATAAATAGTGGAACAGTTGCAAAAGGCACAGCTATATTTCATCGTAGCTTTATCGTTTACTCAATCAATATAATACGATAAGTTTACTGTATATATTTAGTTTATTTTATTTAAAATAAAATAAAACAAAACAAAACATATTATATTCATAATTTATTAATTTTATTTTCTTTATAAATAAAATTAGTTATATTATTTGATTGGATAAATAGGTTGGCATTTTCTAGAAGAAAACAGAATGGAGCGTAGAGTTATTTATTTGCAAAGGAGAAGACACGGTGGCGGCTGATTCTAAAGCCTATGACTGTGTAGGTTTGGATCTATAACTTTGACAGAGATGGGTTATTCCAATGCAAATATACACTGTATTCAACCTCTTCCTCTGATAATCTTTTTTAATATATCACAGTAAATATCCCAGTCTATGCAAACGACAACAATCAATCCCATTTTTCTTTTAAATAATTTGATTATTAATTCAACTGTTATGAAAATAAATAAACAAATTGAGTCTGCCTAGCAAAGCAATACTCGCCGCTGCAAGCAGTGAGAGCAACACGCTGATGCTGACACTGTTCCTTCGCTGACAGAAATATTATTGTATAACATCTTAATGGGAAGTTTTGCAATCACTAAACTTGGTCGAGTCTTCTTTCCTCTCCATCTGGAGTTGCCCACGTTGCTGGATTACTTGTTTGACTCACGTGCCTAAATCAATTATCCACTTTTTTTTATATACCCAAAATGATTTACTGCTACATTTTAGACGTCACATAAATGTTTAATACAAAGTAAATGCCGATAAGCTATTCAAAGCCATTGCCCAATAAATCATCCTTACAATAACTAATATTCAAAGTAAATGGTCGTTTTCTTTGCCTCCTTTTGGCTGGGTATATAAACGAGGCAACCCCTTAGGTATGTCCATTCAAACTTCAAACCACACCCAAGTGGCAGTTATATTATATCCAACCGAAACATAAGAAAAAAAAAATAAGTGTAGCCATATATATAGAATCCCAAGTGAGAAACTGTCGTCTGCACTTCGATTATTCATTCCTAAGGATGGATTTTGATTCTCCTCTCTTCCTAAATCACAACCTTAACTTGTTCACTGAAAATTCCTCCGTTTCTGGAGACCCTTTTTCCTGGGATTACGATTTCGTTTTCTTCAACGATGACAACAATACCCTTCCACTGAACTTCAGTGAGAACCACTCACAGTCTCAACAGACCAAGGAATCATCCTCCGCATCAAACTCTTCTCTGGGTAGCGTTGAGTCACAAGAAGTCTCTTCTAACACAAACTACGCACACATGAGCGAAACACGTGTGCCATCCGCTTCAGAGTCACAAGCACCAAAGGAGAGCAGGGTGTACAGGGGAGTGAGGAAGAGACCGTGGGGGAAATTCGCGGCAGAGATAAGAGATTCCACGAGAAACGGGGTTCGAGTGTGGATTGGAACGTTTGACACAGCTGAAGATGCAGCTTTGGCATATGACCAAGCAGCGTTCTCCACAAGGGGTTCTCTTGCTGTGCTGAATTTTCCAGAGGAAGTGGTGAAGGCGTCACTGAGAGAGATGCAGAGTAAGCCTTGGGAAGAGGGTTCTTCCCCTGTTTTGGCACTCAAGAGGAAACACACCATGAGAAGAAAGTCCACGAAGCCCAGTAAGAAGAAAACGAAAAGGGATGAATTGGAATTGAGCAGTTCAGAAAATGTGCTGGTGTTGGAGGATTTGGGTGCTGAATATCTAGAACAACTTTTGAGTTTGACTTCGTAGCGGTTCTGTTTTTTAGTTTACTCTGTTTTTGGAACTGTTCATAAACAAATTTTAACCTTGTAATTCTTTCCTGACTCCATCAAATGTAATATTCGGGTTCCTCCCTTTTCATCTTCTATTATGTTGATTTCTTCTTCCAAACGGAAAACTTAGCCAGTAGAAAATTAAGTTGGACTCAGCATGAATTTTCTTTTTCATGGTTGACATGATATATAATGATGGACACCATGCATTAACGACAGAGAATGTTGAATTATATTAAAAATTATGAACGAAATTGCGTTTATTATATATTTTCATTAAAAGCATTAGTTATGACCGAATGTTCAATAGTCCACCATGATTTAAATGATATATGTATATTATTATTATTATTATGATTATGTTTTAGGGTTCATATTTCATTAAGATTAAGAGAATTAATTTTAAGTGTATATATATATATATATATATATATATATATATATATATATATTGATTGCATGTTTTTATTAAAATATGTATATTTTTAGTAAAAAGTGTAACATTTACTTTCTTTAATTTGAGTCAAGCCCTTGGACCTAAGAATTTATTCAGAAGTAGGTTAATTTGTTGGTTTACATGGACTTTATCCAAGGCAGACCATTAAATGGGATTTGAATATGAGGTTTGATTTAAGCTTCATCCTTCTAAAAAAACTTATTTTTCTAATTTATTTATTTATAATATGCATATAATTAAAATATGCATGTTTATATAAAATATCAAAATAATATTATTCATTACCTTTTTAAATTTTATTACTGAATAAAATTCATCTTATTTAATAAATTTCATATATTGTTTAAAAAATTTACAAAATTAATCCAATAATATATGGTGCATTAGAAACAGTATTTTGATTTGTTTAATTTATCAATTCTTAATTATTATTTCAAGAGCATTAACAAGATTAAAATATTATTCATACACATAATTAAAAAATTATAATTAACATATTTAAGAAATTAACTATTTTTGAACTATGTTAATATCACGTTTTAGAGCATAGGATTAATAAGCTGTATATTATATCCAAGAACTAAACCATATTTATAATTGCAATAATTTTATTATAATATTAAATAATGATCAAGGTTACAGGATTGGGTTATGTTCTTACCTGTCAAATCTTGTCACATAAAAATGTATTATATATATTTTTTATAAATAAAATATATATTATTAGAGAAAGTTTAAAGATAATTCAAAATCTATATATAAAAAAAAAAACAAAAAAAAAAATACTTACATAGGAAGATAAAAAGATAAAACTTACTCATACTAAACTAAAGTAGATATAATTTTGTGAGTTAAATAATTTTTTCCTTACTTACAAATGTAAGTTCATCTCCACCCAAATGATTTATTTAGTCTAGTCACTCTTTGGAGGTGGTGCTTGTGTATATGAGCATATGTGGATATGTTTGCCACAAATTTTATGAGAAGATTGCTACAACCTATGAAGTTTTTCTTCTGTAATCCACTGGCCTTTTTGGTCTCATTTGATGATTTGTGATGCGACCACTTAGTCATCTGTTGAATTTGTTTTCATGCATTTACTATTTTAGCCTTTAGCTCACTAGGAATATCGTTAACTTCTTATTTGATGGCATGAAAATCTGAGGTACGGCTAAGAGAGATGATTTTCCAAGAGATGTGTTGTATTATTTTAATTAATCCATTAACATATCTCAGCATAAAATACGACATAGTTATTTACAAATGGACTTGTTTCCTTGATTCGTTTAAAGTGTATTTAAGAATATATAATTAATTTTTTTTAAAAAAATATAGTAAGAAACGATGAAACTAAATTAAATTAAATAATTAAATGAAGTGTATTTAGAATTTAATTACTTAATTTTGCAATTTAGTTGACTAATGTGACGAATTATTCCTATTATGTAATCTCATTATATTATTAAATAAAGGTTTGCTTGCCTTTTTATTTCTTATATTTTAGCTTATGTCCAATTTTAGTCATTCTAATTTTAATTACTTATGTTTAAATTTTATAGTTTTTTATTATTCAAATTTAAATTTTCACTCTAAAAATCTATTTAATAATCAACTTAAATATATTAAGAATGTAACATATTATTAATTTATACAAATTTGTAAATAATTTTTTTAAAATGAATCTCTTTCTTTATGTTACATACATTTTATTTATTATATATATATATATATACATACACACACATGAACAAACTTTATATAAATTATGACACATTTGTATTATATTTTTATTAATTATTGAATAAAATTTTGATGTAATAAACTTAGAATAAATGAAAAATTAAAAGAATTAAATATGAGTAAATAAAATAAGAAACTAAAATACACAAAATATAATTGAGCCGAAAATAAAGACGGGTGTTGTTTTTTTATTTTGGGTCTGAAAAGTGGGGTATTTAAGGCTGCTCTCTATCTCTCGGCCCAAGCGAAGATAATGAACACTTAGGCCCACCCAGCCTACCTAGTATTCAAGTCAATTCGGTTCATTATTTTTTGTTTTGAGGGGGTAGGGCTTTGTTAAAAAATGAAGTCATATACCCAATAAACTAAAAAAGAATAACGAGTGATTTCTCGAAAAAAGTTTTTGTTTTTATATAAAGATTATCAGGAATCTTATATTAGAAATGTTAATTTTTTATGTTTGATATGAATATTTTTTCTTTAAATCACAGGAAATTAACATTATCGAGATTTTTTTAAAATTGTTTTCTATGAAGGTATTCTTTTATAATATAAAAATATAATTATACTTCTCAATAAATCTTAAGTTTAAATTTCATTTATATTATTTTTCTATCTTGTAATTATCTATTTAAAATATCTATTGCTAACTTGATATTGTAGCAAAAGATTATTTGAATTTATTACGATTAAAATATTAATATGTATTATTATTATTGATGAAAGCAAAAAAATATATATATATAATTGTACTTCTTAATAATTTTTAAATTTAAAGTTAATTTATATTATTTATTATTTTATTATGGTTTACTTAATGATAGTGTCACCTATTGACATAACTTTTTGTGTTTAAGCAATGGATGTAAATATTAATAAGTTTGTGTGTATATGGTTTGATATTGGACAAAACAATACAAGAGAGAAAGTAATGTTATTGGAGCAACCTCGCAACTCGTGCAATCCATGGCGTAGCACAACACAAGCGCATATAAACTTGTTGGTAGGTGGGAAGATGACTCCTAAGCAAAAGAAGTGGGCAATACAGTGACACAAACAAATAATTAGTGTACTGTTCCTATTTATCTTTGAGATTGGTTGGTTTTTTCAGCCTCCAATGTGGACTTTGAAGGAAGCTCAGTTGTAATTTCAGTTGGTAGTTAAACGGAGGAAAGGAACGATGGGCAGAAACATTGTACTAAAATGGGTAAACATGTGTTTTCTCTTTTACTCTTATTTAGTATTTCTCTTAATTGTGCTTCCCACTAAGATATGTTGGTCCACATACACACTATTTAGGAGTTTAAAAAGAACAAGCCCACCTTCCTACGTACCTATCTATCAATTTTTCGTTGTATATCACTTTAAACAAATAAATATACAGGGACGAACTTGGGTCTTGTTGAATATGAAGAAAGAAAGCATTAATTGTCTCCTTTATTTTCTCTGATGGACAGAATTGGAGTATTGGCTTATTTGAGTTGTGTATCCTTGTGGGTTGCACTGTATGCATGCATGCTGGACACTTCAATACGATAACCCTTCTTCTAATTATTGACCTTTTACTTTTAAAGAGTTTGCATGACATGTAGAGTTAAAATATAAAATGAACCACCACACCCCTCAGCCTTCCATTGTTTAGTATTTTCAAAATAACTTCAAACACTAGTTAGTTTTTTATTAATACAGCACGCAAAAATCATATAAATAAATTGGGATATCTCAAGTATTGGAACAGATTAATTGTGTTGCTTAATTATACCATTTTTATCATTGCTGTCAACTCTGCTCCAACTATTAATTTTAATATTATTTTTCCCTTCGGAGTTTGGACTGAAAAGTGGGAAGAAGCGTGTAAAATAAGTCAACGCAGTGTGGCCACGAAGTCAATCCTAGAAATGTGAAATAAAAAAAAAGTCTATTCAAAACTAACAAATACGTCACTTTCATTTATAGTTTTCAGCCGACCAAAGGGACACGCCATAACCCAACACGGAGGACTTAACCTCTTGTCTCTGTCAAAACCACACTCGCTGTAGCAGCTCACCCATTTTGACCATTCTATATTTTTTTTATCACTAATTATGCTGTGCGTTACATCCCAAAATTACATTAATGTATAATCATATAATTAATAATTACTATACCAAAATTTGTATGCATTCGACATTATTCTTTTCACATTATATTTTAATATCATTACAGTGTGTTCGTTCTTATAAACAGATTAAAGAAATAGACACTTGTTAGCCATTATATTATCATGAATTTACTGGCATGATATTATGTTAATTTGATATGTGATTTTAAATTTTATTTAAAAACTAAGAGATTAAAGAAAAAAATTAGAGGAAAAAAGAGATATTAAAAAAACTTTTCAATTAAAAGAATTTTAAAATATGTTTACTATAGTTTCTTACAACTCTTTCTCATATTTAATATTCTTAAAAAAAACTTATAATCTTAAAAAATATTTAAAATTATTATGTTTTTGTTAAAAATATGTACAATCTTTTAATAAAAAAATGAAAAGCACTAATTCAGAATACCTAAAAAAATAATTTTTCTCCATTTCATAATAATTTTTTAATCTTTCCATTTGATGAATCATGTTCCGTCTTCGTAGGAAACTCATCTATCTCTCTGTCACGTGTTTGCTTTCAATCAATCATTCATTATGAAACATCAAAACTGGATTAAAATAGAATAAATTTTTATTACGTATATGTTAAATTTTTTTGAATATAAATAAATAATTTAAAAACATACTTTAATTTAAATTTATTAACTAAAAAATATTTTTTAACTTTAAATCAAATAAAAATTTTCTTTTAAAAGTTAATTTATTTTTCTTTCTTCCCGTCATTTTTATTAAAAAATAGATCACTGTCCACATTTTATTTGCTTTTGATGAAAACAAAGTACAAAGTAACTAAGTTAAATACTAATTCTGATTTTGTTTGTAAAAAAATATCTAATCGATTAAAAATAAGAAATATTTATAACATTAAATGGATGAATCAATATATTATATATTAAAAATGAATGAATATTGATAAAAGATGAATATTTTATTAACACAAATATTTATTTTATAAAAAATATTAATAATAATTGGTTGAGTGGAAACAGAGGTAACGTTGATTTTTGAAAAACAAATTCAACGCACTAATTCTGCTGACGATGAGTACATAATGCAAACAAAAGAGCAAAGAAATTTTATGAATTTCGTATTTTATTTTCTTCTGAAATTAAAATGAATTAGCAAAAAAAGCAGAAGCACTAAGCGAGGCAACAGCTTCGGGGAAGGGACGACGTCGTAAAAGACTCAAAGGGAGTCCGCAATGGGTGGGGTATATGCCGATCGAATATTTATTGAAACTGTTTTATGTTTCTCTTATTTTGAGTGTTTTGTTTTGTTCTGTTTCCTATAAATCCTTCCCACTCCCTTCAACCCATTGCACTTCAAACCATTTCTCTCTCTTTTCTTCTCTCATCATTTCTATACGCTTCTTCAACGCTCAGGTCAGTTTTAAAGCTCCTTCTATTCCCTTTCTTCTTCTTCTTCTTCTTCTTCTTGGCATCATTATGTGTCATCCCATGCATGTATCCTGCTGCTGTCACTCCATTCCACCGACTCCTCAATTCAAATAAATGTTGCCCTGCTTGTCTTCTCAATTTACATCCTTTTTTATCTTTTCATTTTATCCCAATTCATACCTGTTTGTGTTTTTCTTCACTTCCCACATTCCGGGCAAGCTACCCTTCCCTTCAAAACACAAGCACTCAAACAAAAAGTGCTTTATCAACATCATCCTCCATGATGCCCTCACTCAGCATGTGAAATTTTTTCATATCATGTTCAACTATTTGCTAGAGTTCATTTGGTTTAAACCGAATTGCGTCGCTAGTTTTTAATGTGCTCCTCATCTACGAGTCTAAAGATTATGCATCGTGATAGCTTAGAAGTTAGCCTATTTATATTTTTGTCCGTTCCTTTGGGAACTTAGCTCGGTAACTTTTGTGCATATGTTGTTTTGTTTTCTATTCACTAGGATGTTGCTTTCTAAAAGGATTTATTTATTTTCTGGTTTTTAATATTTTTAAATTCATACGAGTGCCTACTTTTTCTATCATCTGGGGTAACAAAAAATGAGGTTGCTTGATTACTTTGCCCTGCCAATTTTCTTCTACTAGGAGAACGTTCTATCTTTCATATGTTTGGTCACTAGAGGCTCTGTTCAGAGTTTCAATTTCTCAGAGCTTTAATTATGAATTTGGATGGTTCAACTAGTGGTATAATCATTATTGATTGGTTTTCGTTGTCAACTGGTGATGTAATTGTTCATCCATTTGTTTGATTTCACTAGTTGATCACATTTTCAAATTGATTGGTTACCTTGTATTCTAAATCATGTAATCAAAGATCTCACAATTTGTCAGCATTTTTTCAGAGAAGGCAAGCTTTGATAGCGAGAGAAATAGAAGGAAACTTGTAATTTTGGCCTGAAAAGTCATGGCAAAGGAGCAAATTCAGGTGCTGAATGCACTTGATGTGGCAAAAACACAATGGTACCATTTCACTGCAATCGTCATTGCTGGAATGGGCTTCTTCACTGATGCATATGATCTGTTCTGCATATCCCTTGTTACAAAGTTGCTTGGCCGCATTTACTACCACGTTGATGGCGCATCAAAGCCCGGTACATTGCCTCCCAATGTAGCTGCTGCTGTAAATGGTGTAGCTTTCTGTGGAACATTTTCAGGGCAGCTTTTCTTTGGCTGGCTTGGAGATAAGATGGGTAGGAAAAAAGTGTATGGCATGACTCTGATGCTGATGGTAATATGCTCCATTGGTTCTGGCCTTTCATTTGGACATAGTCCAAAATCTGTCATGGCAACTCTTTGCTTCTTTCGGTTCTGGCTTGGATTTGGTATTGGTGGAGACTACCCACTTTCTGCCACCATAATGTCAGAATATTCTAATAAGAAGACTCGTGGTGCCTTCATTGCTGCAGTCTTTGCCATGCAGGGTTTTGGAATCTTGGCAGGTGGTATATTTGCCATTATAATTTCAGCTGCATTCAAGGCCAGGTTTGATTCTCCACCTTATGAGGTTGATCCAGTTGGCTCAACTGTTCCACAAGCAGACTACATTTGGAGAATAATTGTGATGGTGGGGGCACTTCCAGCTGCATTGACATACTACTGGCGTATGAAGATGCCAGAAACTGCTCGATATACAGCTCTAGTTGCCAAGAACATGGAGCAAGCGGCAGCAGATATGTCTAAGGTTATGCAGGTTGAGATTCAATCTGAAACAAGGAAACAAGAGGAGACAAAGGCTAATTCATATGGCTTGTTCTCAAAGCAATTCCTCCGTCGCCATGGACTACATCTACTTGGTACTACAAGTACATGGTTCTTACTTGATATTGCATTTTATAGCCAAAACCTTTTTCAAAAGGATATCTTTAGTGCAATTGGTTGGATCCCTCCTGCAAAAACCATGAATGCCCTTGAGGAGGTTTACAAAATTGCAAGGGCTCAAACACTTATTGCTTTGTGCAGTACGGTTCCAGGTTACTGGTTTACGGTGGCTTTCATTGATAAGATTGGAAGATTTGCTATCCAATTGATGGGTTTCTTCTTTATGACTGTCTTCATGTTTGCTCTTGCCATTCCTTATGACCACTGGACTCATAGGGATAACAGGATAGGATTTGTAGTGATGTATTCCTTGACCTTCTTCTTTGCAAATTTTGGGCCTAATGCTACCACATTTGTTGTCCCAGCTGAGATTTTTCCTGCAAGATTCCGATCCACTTGCCATGGAATTTCATCGGCAGCTGGGAAGCTTGGGGCTATTGTTGGTTCCTTTGGATTCTTGTATTTGGCACAAAACAAGGACAAGAGCAAAGCAGATGCAGGGTACCCAGCAGGTATCGGTGTGAAGAATGCACTAATTGTGTTGGGTGTGGTTAACGTATTAGGCTTCTTCTTTACTTTCTTGGTTCCTGAAGCAAAAGGAAAATCCTTGGAGGAGATATCAGGTGAAAACGATGAGGAAAGAGGAGCTACGGAGGAGTCAGAACAATCATATTCTCACAACAGAACTGTTCCATATGTTTAATCTATAGTGTTAGTATGATAAAGTAGCGTCTTAAACTAGGCTTGGAAGCACAAAAGCTTTCATTTTCCCTCTATTTCTGTTAAATTTGACAATGTAACAAGAACTAAGGAACAATTTGTTGTTCCGAATATTGGAGAATGTTATAGTTACATTTGATTCACAACCATTAGTGGTGCATTGTATAGACGTATAGTAAATTGAATAACCAATTTCACTATCCAGTGTTATGCATAATTTCTTTATTTCTTTTTCTTTTTGACTTTTTGATGAAAACTATATTATTATACGAGATATGTGTATCACGCATGAATGAGTGTTATCATAAGTCTTGCATTACACTAATATACATATCCGTTAAGGTTCTATTTTTCTTATATGATATTTTATAGAATATTTTAAATTCTCCTTTATAATAGTATGGAGGAAGATACTTGCAAAGACACTATATTATTTAATATTCTAAACTTGACTATTTTACTTGTATTTTATAATTTTTTTTATAGATATGATATCAGGTTTAATGTGCTTCGTGATTCAATCTTGTTTTTAACTTTTTATTTAAATAATTAATTTTTTTTATCGATTATTAATCTTTAATTATCTTATTAATTTATTTTAATATGATTGGATGAGTTTCATCCTTAGGTTAGGCCAAAAGGATATAGATACCTTTTATTCTAGTACTAGGCTGAAAGAGTATTTAGATATCTTTTTTATGGTGATGACTAGGTAATTTCTTTACGTATCGTCTGAATGGGAGATCTGTTTATAGTATTTTAGTACATGCTGGTGACAATACAGAAGAAAATTGATTGTTATAGTGTTAAGTAGACGCAAAATTTGACTTGTACACTTCAAACGCGTTCGTTTGTTGAAACTTGAAAGCTATAACATCTAAAAGGAGAGTTTGATTAACCTTAACTTCTGTCTCTGCTTGTAGTGCCTTCGCACATCATTTTGTGGTCTATAATCCATATGTACACATCATGCTATTCTTTCATAGGCTTTGTTTTCAACCAGTCTTCAAATTATTAAAAGTTATTTTTTTTCTTTTTTGTAATTGAGCTACAGCTAAACTTTTATATGCTTGTTTTATAAGATCAAGCACACATCAGTCCAGTTTCTGCACATTGAAAAATATAAATCAACAAAACTTAAATGAGAAATAACTTTTAAAAATGAAAGAAAATAAAGAAATTACAATTTGGAGAAAATATGTACTGTTTTGTAAGAACTGATTAAAATATGTTCAAAGAGGATAATTAACAGTTAGCCAAAAATATTAACCATAAATGCCAAATTGGGTTCAATTTTTCTTCAATTGGAAAATGTATTCACCAAATTTTTTTTAATATGTTTATTCACCAAGAAAATTATTCTGTGAATGTATCATGTCTTAAGGAGATTACAGACAAAACAGAATGCTATTTTCAAATTTGAAGGTAAAATAAAAAATCTATTCAACAAAACTATCTGAAAAATACCTAATTTCAGGCTCAGAAACAGAACAGCAGAATCTTGGAGGGAAATTGCAAAGGAATGTAAATACTGATAATCTCCAAAAAAATAGAGACACCCCTGCCCAATGATAACATTCCTTTGACCCAGATGCACACATTACTTAAGGCATAATGGTAGGCGGCCACGGCCATGTCTAACCACAGTTCTGCAATAGCACTTCAATAAACAGCAACAGGCATTTCTGTATTTCTGCTTTCATGATAAGATTTTTTTAAAGATGAAGTACTCATGGACAAGCTCTAACCAAGCGCTTTCTTGACGCGGGCAGCTTCACCAGGCATTCCAGCCTTCAAAAGACAAGATCTTAAATTATTTATAGTGATTTCATCGGGGGCACAACTAACTGCCAACATCTTATCAAAGACACCAATTGCTTCAAGCATTCTCCCTTTCATACAATGCCCAATAATAAGAATTGTATATGTCAACTTATCAGGCTTGCAACTATTCCCCTCCATTTCTTCGACAATGTTATTAGTCTCGTCAACATTGCCAGATTTGCAATATCCATCAATAACAGGATTATAGATAAATGGCTGCGGAACAACGCCACTCTGATTCAATAGTCTCAAAATGTCCGGAGCTTCACTTAGTCTGTTATTATTGCATAGGCCACTAACGAGAACTGAGAACGTATACAAACTTGCAAAAATATTTCTACCATTCATTTCACACCACATTTCCATCGCCAGTTTCACCTGCCCAACTCGAAAATATCCATTAATCAAGGAAGTGAAGGTAGCAACATCAGGAGGACAACCACAAAAAACCATCTTCTCATACATGGCCAGCGCAGAACCCATGTCCCCCAACTTACCAAAACCATCAATAAGAGCATTAAAAGTCAATGTATTAGGCTCAATTCCACTCCTAACCATTTCATCAAAAAGTAAACTCCCTTCCTCCATCCTACTCAACTTGCAATAACCCAATATCACTGTCGTGTAACTAACAACATCAGGAGCCAATTCCCTCTTCAAACAAACTTCATTCAATAAACCTCTAGCTCTATCTACCTCACTAATTCGACACATTCCATGCATAAGAGTATTATAACTAACTACATCCGGCAAACAACCAAAACTCCTTAAATCCTCAGGAAGCCTAAAAGCCTCATTAATTTCCCCGGCCCTGCACAACATTAATTTCACTTTCCCACGATTTTGAACCTGCTTTATTTCTTTTAAAATTATAGTATTGTACTATGTGAATCACGCACCAATTTTACTTTCTCACGATTTTGAACATGCTTTATTTCTTTTACTTTTTTGTGGAAAATTATAGTATTGTACGATGTATATGTATCATACGTACCAATTTTATTTTCCCACGATTTTGAATATGCTTAATTTCTTTTTTTTTTTTTTTAAAAATTATAGTATTATACTAAGTATGGATCACAAGCACTATTGAAATATCTTAAGAGATAAAGTTGGAGTTGAATGAGTGTTATAAAAAAATACTTGCATGACACTAACATACATATATATATAAGAACCTTTACGTATCGTCTGAGATCTGTTTACAGTATTTTGGTACGTGACGGTGACAATACAGAAGAAGAAGATTGGTTGTTATGGATATTGAGTCGATGCAAAAGATGACCCTTTCAGCAAAATTTGAATTTGACTTTTACAAGATAAATTTTATTTGAGAAAGCATATAGAAATTTAAACACATACAAATTGTAAAAAAAGAAAAAAAGAAAAAAAGGGGGCCTGATAGAACTGGATAATTGCAAAATTTGATAGAAATTGAAAAAGGAAATGTTTGTATATCAATTATGCTTTCACAGTACATATTCTATATACTTTAGAAGTAATTTTGATGATTTGATGACCAAGTGTCGGTTTATTATATCATGGAGTCTTTGCTGTCAAATTTTTTGTTAGCTTTTGTACATGAAGAATTAAAATATATATACTAAATATTGATTGTAAAGAAAGCCAAATGTCACGCCTTGCAGAACAAAAGTTAGATCACTTCTGATATCAACCACACCCATGTATGTGAGAAGCATCAGGAACAATGTTTGTGTAGGTTGAGTTTTCTAATTATTGAAACCAATTTATAGCAAAGACATTCAACATGTTAGCCATCCTCTCTTGCCATAAACATGATGGTTGAAACCTCAGTGAAGTAAATTTAAAAGTCACCCATCAATCATCAGAACATAACACATGCCTCTATAATTATTGTTGCCAAACATTATGTCAATGTATCAGAAGTGAAGACAAACGAACGCATTTGAAGTGTAAAAGTCAAATTCAAATTTTGCTGAAAGCAGCTACTAAACAGACTGGAACCACGGGTAGTAGTGAAAGGGTTATCTTGTAAAAGTCAAATTCAAATTTTGCTGAAAGGGTCATCTTTTGCATCCACTCAATATCCATAACAACCAATCTTCTTCTTCTTCTTCTGTATTGTCACCGTCACGTACCAAAATACTGTAAACAGACCCCCATTCAGACGGTACGTAAAGGTTATATATATATATATATATATATATATATATATTAGTGTCATGCAAGTATTTTTTTATAACACTCGTTCAACTCTAACTTTATCTCTTAAGATATTTCAATAGTGCTTGTGATCCATACTTGGTATAATACTATAATTTTTTTCAAAAAAGAAAAAAAATAAAGCATATTCAAAATCGTGGAAAAGTGAAATTGGTGTGTATGATTCACATACATCGTACAATACTATAATTTTTCTCAAAAAAAAAAAGAAATAAGGCAGGTTCAAAATCGTGAAAAAGTGAAATTGGTGCGTGTGATCCATATACATCGTACAATACTATAATTCTCTTCAAAAAGGAAAAGAAATAAAGCATGTTCAAAATTGTGGGAAAGTGAAATTGGTGTGTGTGATCCACATATATACCTCGTACAATACTATAATTTTTCTCAAAAAGGAAAAGAAATAAAGCATGTTCAAAACCGTGGAAAAGTGAAATTGGTGCGTGTGATCACGTACCTTGTACAATACTATAATTTTCCTCCAAAAGAAAAAACAACCAAGCATGTTCAAAATCGTGAAAAAGTGAAATTGGTGCGTGTGATCCATATACATCGTACAATACTATAATTCTCTTCAAAAAGGAAAAGAAATAAAGCATGTTCAAAATTGTGGGAAAGTGAAATTGGTGTGTGTGATCCACATATATACCTCGTACAATACTATAATTTTTCTCAAAAAGGAAAAGAAATAAAGCATGTTCAAAACCGTGGAAAAGTGAAATTAGTGCGTGTGATCCACGTACCTTGTACAATACTATAATTTTCCTCCAAAAGAAAAAACAACCAAGCATGTTCAAAATCGTGAAAAAGTGAAATTGGTGCGTGTGATCCACATATCCTTTACAATACTATAATTTTTCTCAAAAAAGAAAAGAAATAAAGCAGGTTCAAAACCGTAGAAAAGTGAAATTGGTTACTCAGCATAATGAATCCAGAATATTATTTTACGATGTGAATATTAAAATTATGTTATATTTATATTTTTAAATAAATATACTAAATTTTTTATATTTTTTTTATAATAACGAGCCTTCTAACAAAATTTAAAGAAATCGCATATTTTAATATTTTACATTAAAATTTAAGATATTTTTTTAAAAATTTAAAAATAATAATAATAATTGTGTCTCTCCCTTTATACTAAACACTAAAGTGTTCACTAAAGTACTCCAACAAAAAATAATATTTTTTTAATTTAACACCTAAGAAAATGTGTCTTAAACATGTTGAATATAGGTGTAATAATAAATTATTATTCTGTCATTTTATTTATAGTATTTTAGACTATTTTTTATGATAATTTTTATTTTATTTTTTAAAATAGTTAATTTTTTTATTTTATTGTAAAAAGTGATAATAATATAAATTTTTAAAAAAAATTAAATCATGAGAAAAAATTGTTGAAATGAGAAAAATGAGTGAATTATAAAACTAAATTTTAAATTTCAATTTTATATTTTAAATTTCAATTTTATAATAGAAAAATATATATTTTTCTATTAATATGTCATATCTTTTTATAAATATATCTTTTTAGATGACAAATTATTATATTTATTTAATTCTGTATTCTATATAAAGAGCTTTACATACTTGATATTGAACACTCAACTATTTTCTGTTTTTATCTATTTTTTTCTTTATCTATGACAAAGTTATATTTTTACTATAGCAGATTAACTATAAAAGTTATTTATTTATTTATTTATTTATTATTATTATTATTATAAATATTTTTTGTTTAGTTACTTTAGTATTCATATTTATGATTATGTATAACTAAATATTTTTTGTGATTGAGTTGAGGTGGATTTATACGATGTAACTCATTTTAAATTCTAGTTTAATTTTATAATATTGATGTTATTTATCATTTATAATTATTTTTTTATATATATATTTTAAATTAACCACTAAATGATAAATTTTAATAAATTAATTTATAGACAATAATAGCTTAACAAAATTAAGAGGTGATTTGAGTTTAGAAATTAAAATGATCAATATATCACTTAAACTTTCAATAAAATTAACAAATATAATTTTTTTAATTATTTTATTCTTTATTATAATAATTAAAGTAACATATAAATAAAAAAATTGTTATTATTATACGATTATTGAGTAGTAATAATAATTAATTAGATAATTATTAATTCTTTTAACACAATTAAATAAAATTGAATTGAATATATATTATTGTGAATATTGTGAATGATATTCTAGGAAGATGAAAAAAACATAAGGTTGTGTTAATTAGTTAAAATTGTGCAATTTGTGCAAAAACTAAGTAGAATCATATCTCAATGATAACAAGTTGTATAATTAGTTAAATTTATTTAAAATTATAATTTTTTTGCCATACCATTATTTTTTTGGAAAAAAGATAAATAAATATTAATTAGTGCCTTTAGAAGAGTTAAGAAATTTAAAACTAATGTTTTATTGAAATACAAATATTTTTTGTTTGCTTTCATTAAAAAAAAGAAAAAACATTTAAAATTTGAATTGAAAGAAAAAGCTTTTTGTTCTGCTAAAAATCACTAGTTCTTCTTTATTTTGATTTTATTTATAAAATACACCATTATCCATATTTTATTTCCTTTGGTACAAAACAAATCCTAGAGGAACTAACTAGAAACCTTGTTGAAATTTAAAAGCAGCCCCAGATTAACAATGGTGGACACACCCCACACGTTTGACACAACATTAGGGAATGAATATGAAAATTCAGTTAAATGATTGCTGGGGTTCAAGTTTTTGCGGTCCCATGACTAGGGAGAGATTATTAATGGATGGTCTGGTCCGTGTGATCGTCGCGTGATTCCCGATATTCACTTTTTACCATGTGTCAATTATTTTTAAAATGTATGTGTTGTCTTCTAAAGATCAAATTTTTACAATGTGTCAAGTTTTCTTCCATAAATAAGTGTTAAAGATGAAATTCAACTCACTAATTCTGCTAAATGTGCAAATGGGATTTCATATTTTTTTGCTTCTAAAATTAAAAGGAATTAATGTGAAAAAAGAAGACACCAAAAAAGGCAGTAGCACTGAGTGAGGCAACAGCTACGGGGAAGGAAGTTGACTGGGGGAAGCGATCCGCAATAGGAGGAGTATATACGAATGTGGGTCGACCATTTGGTTTCAAACTGTTTTGTTCCATATAAATCCTTGCAACTTCCTTCTTATATTTCTCCCTCATAACATTGCACTTCCAACCATTTCTCTCTCTCTTTTCCTCTCTCAACGTTTCCATAAGCTTCTTCGACTCTAAGGTCAGTTTTACAACTCCTCCTTCTCCCTTTCTTATTGTTATTTTTATTAGTTTCGTTATGTGTCATCCCATGCATGCACCTTACTACTGTCCCTCCATCACACCGAGTCCTCAATTTCAAAAAATGTTGCACTACTTGTCATCTCAATTTGCATTCTTTTTTATTTGATATATGATAACATTTTCAAATTGATCGGTTTTGCTTGAATTCTTGATTAACCTAATCAAAGATCTCACTAACTGTCACCTTTTTGCAGAGAAGGCAAGCTTGCCATAAAGAGATAAACACAAGGAAACTTGTAAATTTGGCCTGAAAACTCATGGCAAAAGAACAAATTCAGGTGCTGAATGCACTTGATGGAGCAAAAACACAATGGTACCATTTCACTGCAATCGTCATTGCTGGAATGGGCTTCTTCACTGATGCATATGATCTATTCTGCATCTCCCTTGTTACGAAGTTGCTTGGCCGCATTTACTACCACGTTGATGGCTCTCCAAAGCCCGGTTCATTGCCTCCCAACGTAGCTGCTGCTGTAAATGGTGTAGCTTTCTGTGGAACACTTTCAGGGCAACTTTTCTTTGGTTGGCTTGGAGATAAGATGGGTAGAAAAAAAGTGTACGGCATGACTCTGATGATGATGGTAATATGCTCCATTGGTTCTGGCCTTTCATTTGGACATAGTCCAAAATCTGTCATGGCAACTCTTTGCTTCTTTCGGTTCTGGCTTGGATTTGGTATTGGTGGAGACTACCCACTTTCTGCCACTATAATGTCCGAGTATTCTAGTAAGAAGACTCGTGGTGCCTTCATTGCTGCAGTCTTTGCCATGCAGGGTTTTGGAATCTTGGCAGGCGGTATATTTGCCATTATAATTTCAGCTATATTCAAGGCCAGGTTTGACTCTCCACCTTATCAGGTTGATCCAGTTGGCTCGACTGTTCCACAAGCAGACTACGTTTGGAGGATAATTGTTATGGTGGGAGCACTTCCCGCCGCATTGACATACTACTGGCGATTGAAGATGCCAGAAACCGCTCGTTACACCGCACTAGTCGCCAAGAACATGGAGCAAGCGGCAGCAGATATGTCTAAGGTTATGCAGGTTGAGATTCAAGCTGAACCAAGGAAACAAGATGAGACAGAGGCTAATTCATATGGCTTGTTCTCAAAGCAATTCCTCCATCGCCATGGACTACATCTACTTGGTACAGCAAGCACATGGTTCTTGCTTGACATTGCATTTTATAGCCAAAACCTTTTCCAGAAGGATATCTTTAGTGCAATTGGTTGGATTCCTCCTGCAAAAACCATGAATGCCCTTGAGGAGGTTTACAAGATTGCAAGAGCTCAAACACTTATTGCTTTGTGCAGTACGGTTCCAGGCTATTGGTTTACGGTGGCTTTTATTGATATCGTTGGAAGATTTGCTATTCAATTGATGGGTTTCTTCTTTATGACTGTCTTCATGTTTGCTCTTGCCATTCCTTATGACCACTGGACTCACAAGGATCATCGAATAGGATTCGTAGTGATGTATTCCTTGACCTTCTTCTTTGCAAATTTTGGGCCCAATGCTACCACATTTGTCGTCCCAGCTGAAATTTTTCCTGCAAGATTCCGATCCACATGCCATGGAATTTCATCGGCAGCAGGGAAACTTGGGGCTATTGTTGGTTCATTTGGGTTCTTGTATTTGGCACAAAACAAAGACAAGAGCAAAGCAGATGCAGGATATCCAGCAGGTATTGGTGTGAAGAATGCACTGCTTATTTTAGGTGTGATTAACGTATTAGGCTTCTTATTGACTTTCTTAGTTCCTGAGGCAAAAGGAAAATCTTTGGAAGAAATGTCAGGTGAAAATGATGAAGAAAGTGAAACCAGGGAAGTGTCAGAGCAACCATATTCTCACAACAACGGCAAAACTGTTTCCTATGTTTAAATATGTGCATCTATAGTGTTCCTCTAATAAAGCAGTGTTTTCAACAAGGCTTGGGAAGAGCAAAGGCTTTCCCTTCCGCTTTACATTATTTTTGTTAGATTTTGGTGGACACTGTGTGACAGTAACTAAGGAACAATTTGTTGTACGGAATATTGGCCAATGTTATAGTTGCATTTGTTCCGCAACCAATATTGGAGTTTATTTTATAGATGTACAATACTTTTGAGTAACCAGTTTCACGATCCGACAGTGTTCTGCATGCTTGCTTTATTTCTTTTTCTTGTTTAGGAAAACTATAGTAGTAAACGAGGTATGTGTATCGAGCATGATTGAAATATCTTCAGGAAAAAAGTTAAATGATTGTTGAAAAAGACTTGCATGGCATTACATGAATATAAATATATAAGAACCTTTATTTATCGTCTGAATCGGTTTGTCTCCTACGTGGTCGTGAGAATACAGAAGAAGAATGATTGTTTTGGATGTTGAATAGACGCAAAAGAAGACCCTTGCACTACCAGTTGTAGTTCCACGGTAGTTGTTGCTTTCAGCAAAATTTGACTTGTACACTTCAAATGCGTTCGTTTGTTGAAACTTGAAACCAAAACATCTAAGCGGGGAGTTGGATTGACCTTAACTATTGTCTTCACTTGTGCTTTCCCACATCATTTTGTGGTCCACAGTCGATACCCTTCATGCTATTCTTTCTTAGACTTTGTTTCTTTAAATTATTAGCATCTTGTTACTAGTTCCTATTTTCGTCACATCATTGGATAATTTATATTCTTACTATATTCTCTCTATTGAAAACTTCAAGTTAGTACATAGATTTGGTTATTTGTTTTATTTCTCCTAATTCTTGTTTCCTAGGGTTATAGTATACTTAACAAAACCATAATCATCTATTGATGTTTCACAATTTATAGTTCAAATCCCTGGGAAACCAAAAAAAGTGTGGTGAAATATACACCTAAAACTATGTGAATTTTCTGGTTTTTTGCAAGAACGCTTTTAGGAAAGAAGAAATTAAGCCAGAAATTTACGAATCCGCAACAGAGGCATGGCTATCGGCTAAGGACCAAATTAAATTTAAGGCAGTATTGCATCTTACTATCTCCAGACCTTAAACAGTGGAAATATTTGCAATATATATGTGGCCAGAGGCCTAATACAAAGTTCCGCGATGTTAAATTCTACATAGCCCATTATGTTTTGGGGCTCATCCTGATGGTAAAGAATGCTAAACAGAGTGCATTAGCAATGCCAAAGGTCCTGTGGTACTGACGGAAACTGTTAACACTTAGAGAAATGCTAGCTGCATAATATTTAGCATACTCTTTTAAATGCACATAATTTATTAAAAATAACAATGAACATGTGAATCACTTTTCTAAGTCTTACTTTTATAATTTTTACTAATTTTCTGACATTGATTTTACAATCTAATATTTGCTCCAAATGAGTATGTTCAGTGCAAGAGGGGCATCAGGGAAACTTGGAGCTAAGCGAGGTGGGTGCTTTTGGACTCTTGTACCTGTCATGGAACCAAGACACAGTCCATTGGTGTTTAGAATTGAGTCAATTGTACTTGCTGTGTGACAAACTAATTAGATTTTATCAGCACCTTGATGGTACCTGAATAGAAAGGAAAGACATTGGAGGAAATTATCTGAATTTTGGAGTGAACGAGAACACCCAGAGGATTTAGGATCAGTCGGAAGCTGGTAAAGTTATGAGCTTTTCCTTTTATTTTAATTTTAAACTATTTTTTTGAATACCACTCTCAATCAAATTACACAAGATTCCATCCCTGTACTTCCCACGCATGATGATTCATTTTCTTTTATCTTGGTTAAAAAGAGCATATGCAAGGACAATTGAGGTTACGTTACTAATGGGTTAAACACCAAGTTGGATGCTGTTCTTGGTCTCTCTGCCACATTGAAGTACTCATGAAGCAACCATAATAACTTAGCTTTCAAAAAGCCAACATGATAAATTTAAGTTCTGAAAATTTCTACAGATACCTAGTCAAAGTTATAACAAAGGATTTTTATATAAGACATCGGGAATTCTGGATCCATACAGTCATGCTCATGCTCTTACAATAAAGTCATTCAATGAGATTTACAATAGTAACTGTCGAAAGCTTAAACCCATCAGCCTTCACATTTATATTATTGGAGGTATATTTTTTAAGCAAAATGGGCTCTGAGATGATAAAGCTTGGAAAGGTAATTCATCAAAAGTAAGAGCTAGTAGATTCTACTAAGAAAATGAATAACTGCATAAACATCTCAATGTGCGCGGTCTCTCAGCACTTCTAGATCCATTTCTGTGGGGTCAGTAGCCTGAATTTCGTAGTGGACACCATCTAGCTCACGTCTAAATCTGTCTTTAGTTGTGGCATAGAGCATCTTGGCTCGGATTCGAGATGTTGAAGGGGACCTAATCAATATCATGCAGTGAACAACTAAGAATGATATCTCAGGCAGAACCATGGAAAAAGTAAATTAATTTAGAATAAATGAAGTCCAAAACAAGTTTGTTCTTCACAAGAACAAGAGGAGGAAAACAAACTCCAAATAAGATATTGAGGAGATACTTCAAGTATTTGATGAAAAATATGTTGTTAGGACGTGGGAGCCAAGATGCCACTCAAACAAGATATGAAAAATGATTGACGAGAGTAGTCTTTCTGCACACAATCAGCTCCAACAATGCAATAGAGTACTCAACCAGTTCAACTAGAAAAATAATTGTGCATTTATATCTATACTAAATTTTCTAAGTGGCAAGGTAAATATATGATGGCACGACTTGCAATTCTAGCTGATGGAGTAAACAACTACACGTACCACTGGAAAGACTACTACCATTTTCTTAAGAGTTCATCATCTTATTTAGGGACATTCTGAAATTAGTAACTACAAAAAAAAAAAAAAAAAAAAACTAAATAGCAAAGCACATAAAGCTTTACCGTATCAAAATTTTTAAATCTCTAAGAAAAGAATAGACTAGAAAATTAGAAATATTGAAGAATATATAAATTTTCAGAATATTAATTCCTTATTTACAACTACACAAATACCCCCAATCATGTAAAAAAAAATGTGTCTACAAATTAAGACAAGAAATTTAGCCCAAGACAATGAAACAGTGAACATATAGCTCCATAATCAGAGAACATGCAAAGAATGACATTAAAACAATGCAATATTGACATGGTTTTTAAGAAACCGCAAAAGATGTGATCATATGTGCTGCAGAATTTGCTTTGTTGCAAAAGAAAATGCATATTATGCATCATGCCTTACAAAGACATCGTGCTGGTTGGTGCAATGCAACAATGCTTTTAATTGTAGACGAAGTCAGAGATTTTTTGTTGTTTTACATATAAAATTAAAATATAGAGAAAAGGGGGCGTCAAACTAACCATGCAATGAAGAAAATTTTGCTCTTTTGACAGTTCTCAGAAGTGACGAAATCAAAGTCAAACACAGCATATCTGCAATCGTTCTCAGGCAAAGATGCAGTGAAATCATCATAGCTCTCAGCTGGGCCACCAGTCTTCTCAACCACAACCTCCCTTTTCTTTTCATCAACCTTAAAGATCACATAGCGGTGAACCTTCTTCTGCTTCAATTCCATGAAGGTATTCCTGCTGTGATCAGCAACACCCATGCCTGATGAAGCATTTGGCTGAAATTCAAACGTATCTGGGTCAAAAGCCTTTTCATTTTGAACTTGAACGCGCACACAAATATTCACAACCCAAAGGTAAGGCTGATCAATACTCTTACAACAGATAAATTCCCACTTTTCAATTTTTTTCTTAAGTTCCAAGAGCAGAAAATTTACAACATAGTCACAGAGAATTTAGAACCATGGTTCAAGGCTGATTTTTGTTCTTGCAATGGAGTAACAATTATAGTCATGGCAGTGCAGTGACTAGTGAGAAATCCTTAACATCCACAAAGTAAAGTATCATGAAAATTAAACGAAAAGCAGAATGAACAAACATAACAGAAAATAAGAAGAGAAAATGTTACCCGGCTTAGGCCTCTGAAAGACATGAGAAAGCTTGGAGTTGAAGAAAGAGGGACAGAGAATGAAAGAAAGGAAAAAGAATTGAATTGAAGTATGGAAATGCAATGTAACACAAAAGAAGAATTTGAGAAATTATTATAAATAGTTGAGAATTGAGAGATAGTTGATAGGGGCGGTGCGTTGTAGTAACGCTAAGTGGAATTATGGGACCATGAAATATGAATCCACCAAATCAAAACAAAGGATTTTCCACCGCCCATTGGGCCCCACTTTTGTCCCATCGAATCGCCGCGTATGTCCATTTTACTTTATTAAATATTAATTATTAATTAGCATCTTAAATGTATTTGTTACAAAATTTTGAAACTTTTAACTAATATCTTTAAAATGTTAATTGATATTTATTTTATTCGATTGATTGAGTTTTTCTTACCGACAATCCATGGCCACATGCTAGGACGAGCTCATGCTCTGCTTGCGATTCTGTCGAGAAAAATTAATTAATTTATCAGGGTGATTAGTTTAAATATAATATTTTAAATTTAATTTTATGTATAATTTAAAATATATATATTTTTTAATTTTTTAATAAGATACTTTTAATTAAATCATAACCATTCAAAATAATATCACAAGTGGTTAATGTACTAATTATTAAAAAATTAATCATAGCATTTTGAGTTTATTCTTAATTAAAGTAAAACACTATTATTACATTCATTATTAAAGGATCTTGCTAACTATTACTAGTGGCCTGAATAGTAAATCTTTTAATAAAATTTTTCTACTTTTGATTTGTTGACTAGTGCTCTAAATGTATTTGTTAGTATCTTTCATTGTTAAAAGGTTATAACGGATAAATGAAGAAAAAATATATAAAATAATAATAAGTATTACTAAAATTTTGTAAAAGATCTTGTATTAAGGTAAACGAGTTAAGTCGATAATTTAAATTTCAAACATGATATATGAAAAAAAAAATTGCTTAAAGTTTATTCATTTATCTAAATAAGCTAGATATGATGCTTAAAATTGACTTAATTAACAATTTTAAAACTTAAATTTGATTTATTATCTTGTTTATAATTTTTTAATAAATTTTGAATAATTTTTTTATAATTTAGTATTTAATAAATATTTTGATGCTAAATAATAAAGTAAAATAAATCTATATAAAATGACTTAAAATTAAAAATAACTTTTTATTATGGAAATAATATATGTTTTTTAAAATTATTATCACTTATTTAAAAAAAATTTTAAAAATAAATAAAATAAAATAAAATAAATACTTGATGATAATGATAAAAAAAATATAAATTTAAATAAATACAATAAAGATAATCTTAATTATCTAAGTATGCTTATATAAATATGAACATTGATCACTTATAGTTAATTTTTAAGTCAGTTCTATTTAACAATAACTTTAAGTTTATTAAATGACGAATAAGCAAGTTCTTTACTTTAAGTATAAAGAAACAATATTGCAAATATCTTATTTTTCTGTCTCACCAATCAAATAACATTTTTATTTTATTTTATGATTTCAAGTCTTAAATATTTTGGTAAATATGTTGCTTTTACTCTTAAACTTTTAAACATTCTATATCAATTGAGGAGTTATTGTCTACCTTTGCATTTGAATTCTTTATAGTTGTAGTAGAAAATAAACGTTAAATTCTATTTTTATTTAAACAAAAATAAATTTGCTTAAACAAAATTAACCAAAAAAAAACTACACAAATTTTTTTTAAATGAATTTTGTTTTTCTTTTCCTCTGTTCCTCCCACCTCCTCTTTTCACTCTCTTCAACATCTCCACTTTCATTACCCAACTCTCCAACCCATATTTAATCTTCTCTTTTCCTCTTTATATAGGTAACTTTTACAATTTTTTTAATAAAAAAATAGTCTGTTATTTTACTATGACATAGAAAGATCAATATTTGATTAACGACTATAATTTATTGGTAAGAGATTTAAAACAAAAAAATTGTGTACTATTTTTTTTTATTTTTAAAATATAAATATAAAAATGAGTATTATTCAGACTTTATTTATTGTCATTTATATTAAAATATTATGAGATGATACTATATTTAAACTTTAATTTTATGTAAACAACTAAAATTTACCATACTAAATAATATTTCGTTCTCATTAGCCGTTCAAATATATTTTCACTCATAAACATCCTTTAAATTCTCTCTCACTTTGAAAAAATTAATTTAATTTTAAAATATTTGATACTTAAGCAATTAAAAAAAACTTTTTCAAAAATATTTTTATTCATTAATGCTTACTTAAATATTTAATTATAATAAAAAAAACATGGTGAAAAAATAATTAATAATAGTATAATATACCGTAGAGACAAAAACATACTCCAAGTCCCAAGTCAGCAGAGGGGCTTTGGAGCAGCCGGCGAGGCACCGTCAATCCCCTCTTTCTCCATGGATTTCTTGGTTTCTTCTCTCTCTCGATCTCTCGCTTTCGTTTTTTATTTTTGTTTATTTATGTGAGTTGACTTCACTGTTGAAAATCACAGGAGAAGAAACAAGTGGAAGCTCCCTTGTTCTGGTTCGAAACCTCGGACTCTGTATGTCGCCGACACCAGTTTGAACCCGATGGTCAACTCTCTGTGTGTTACTTTTCTACCCTTTAACCTCTATTCTACATTTCCAATTTCCCCAATTCTCTATCTTCATTTCTTCCAATGTACAGGGTCATTGACTTCAAACTCAAACTGTGATACTTCATGTTTCAATTTTGAAGCTAACTTCTTTGCTTTGGTTCTAAAATTGACCATGAATTTTGTTGAAAAGCCTAACCCTTTGCTTTATTTACCCTAACAAATGTTTTTGGTTGCTCTGCAGGTAATGCTTGTTCATGATTCCAGACCCTTATACCAAAGGGTTGCTGGATCTTTCATGAATAAGTTTTTCCCCTCTGGGTATCCATACAGGTCGTTTGGCTTTTTCTCATTGTTATATGCTGTAGTTTATGGCTTTAGCTAGCTAGTTCAGTGACTCAGATTTTCAGTGTTTTGTTTGCAGTGTGAATGAAGGCTATCTCAGATACACACAGTTTCGAGCCGTGCAACATGTTACCAGTGCAGCACTATCTGTGCTATCAACTCAGGTCTTCTCCTGGTGACTTGAAAATCTCAGTAACGGGTGTAATCAGAAATATGTTGTTGTCTTTGACATTGGAAAATAAAACTTGCTTGCATCCAATGAAACTTGCTTGCTTGACAAGCAAGATATAAAATTCTCTCTATTCACAGAAACAGCATCATACTGTTATGCCCATCAGCATGACATATTCTGTGTGAATTGAAAAAATGTAACCTTTTTGTCAATGGATCCTTGTTAAATAATTGAGTTTGAAGTGGGTGTTCTTTGTCTCTACTCTCTATGCTTATTCTTCTGCAGTCACTGCTATTTGCTGCAGGGTTGCGGCCCACTCCTGCGCAAGCAACTGCTGTTAGTTGGGTAATTTAATACTAATTTTCTGTTGAAAAATTCTCAGATCAGTAGTAGTGGCACTGTCATCTGTTTAATGTATAACCTGTTTGTCCTGTACATTCAGATTTTAAAGGATGGAATGCAACATGTAGGAAAGCTAATATGTAGCAATTGGGGCGCTAGAATGGATTCTGAGCCTAAACGTTGGAGACTACTAGGTTTGGATTTGGGCTGGTGCTATTCTTCGCCGCCTTCTCTCCTTCTTTTGTTAGCTCTTATTTGTCAAGATCTCAAGTTGTCTGACTGCAATTGGCTTTTTTACATTTTGCAGCTGATGTGCTTTATGATTTAGGCAGTGGTTTGGAAGTGCTTTCTCCATTATGCCCACATCTTTTTCTTGAAATGGCAGGCCTAGGAAATTTTGCAAAGGTTTGTATTTTGATTTTTTAAAAAATAATCCCACATTTTGGTATATGTTGCAATGTAAAGTTGATTCAATGCTAATTGTTCATTCAAGCTTATGTACATCATGATTTGGAGCTTTAACATTCTATACTAGAGTTCTAGTGAATGTATCATATTTAATTTTGGTTATTAACTTCTCTATTTGCTACTATGGAGTCAACAGGGGATGGCAGTTGTTGCAGCTAGAGCTACAAGATTGCCTATATATTCTTCATTTGCTAAAGAAGGAAATCTCAGTGACCTATTTGCTAAAGGGGAGGCTTTTTCAACACTCTGTAATGTTGTTGGAATCGGAATTGGCATTCAATTAGCATCTACTATCTGTGCATCAATCCAAGGAAAGGTAGGGAGATTTATTTTCTTGTGTTGGGCTTTAGCGTTCAATTTAATTTTCAGCTTTTGACCTGTAATATTAGTTTGTGTACTTAAGGTTGTTCTTGGTTGTGGTCGTTGGTGGAATGCTTGAGGATTGAAAGATTACAATGTTATATTGTAAATTCACCCCCCAAAAAAATGCAAAATGTTAGGTAGTGTTGGACATAATCTTCTAGGAAATATTTTGTGAAATTGGACAATATATCTTGATTTTTTCTGTCTTCAAGGTTTTTATGACATTTCATAAGAACTTGTTTGGTGTTAGACTTTTACTTTGTTTTGAGTATTTGTTAGTTACTGTTAGTGTGGGAGGTAGTTGGCTTAAGATAATTAGTTGGAAAAAGGCATGTTGCCTGTATATAAGAGAAGTGTTGAGAGGGAAATCTTATCGTTTGAGAGGAAATTGGGGGACTTTGAGCATTGAGAGGAGCATACCCTCAAAATTCTTAGTGCTCTATCCTTGCAATTGGAGTTTATCACTATTTCTTCCTAATACCGGTATCAAGTGTTTTTCAATTGGTATTGTAGCTCCCAAGATCCTGGGAGAAGTACATGTTTCCAGCTTGCACCAACAAGATGAGGCTTTGTCTCCTTGTGTAATGGATATTCTTTACATGAAAAGTTGTAGAACTCTGTTATTAGTTCTCGGGATTCATCAAAATTATTAGGATATTACCCTGCCTGTATATTCGAATTGTGCATTCATTTTTTCAAATAAATATGTAGTTGGTTTAATTTAGTTTAGAAAAATAATTGTTCTTATTTGTCAACTTCCTAAGGGAGCTTATAAACAAAAGAATAATTGATTTTTTCCTTGGAAATTAATTTTCCCAAACATGTGCTGCGTGCTACTCCTTAACTCTTTTTTCTCAGTCATTTAACTGCTCTCGAACATTGGTTTAACTTGAAAACATAAACTTCAGCGGCAGGTTGACACTTCCCTAAAGTTCAATTTTTAAGGGGGTGATGTGTAAAATAAACAGTAACATTAAGGGCGTTAAATGAGAAAGTGTACAATCATGGGCATTCTGTAGAATAAACATTAACTGATGTTAAAGTTAACATTTTCAAGTTAAACCAAAAGCTGTCATGGGTTTAGCGACGCAAAAAAAAGAAAGTGAGAGTAGTTATTTGAAGAAAATGGTATAACTATGGATCTGTAATTTACCCAAATTATTAATGGTATATTAAATGGAAACATTAAACAACTAGGGACTTTACAATTTCAAAATTTGATCGGCACACACTCTCAAAAAGAGATCGCATCTGTTAGACTTAAATGTTATGATGGCAAGATTATAAATATAATGTTGCCAATGGAATCATGTCGAATGGCATATAGGTCATATACATTCTTTATTTGCAATAAAAAACTATTTCCCAAAATATCAATATGAAAGGAAGCAATGTTATTCCCTAGTTTACTTTCTAGAGATAAGTATTCATTTTATTGATGATTCCCAAGTGAAACTTCTTTGGTCAGTTGGTTGTGGGTCTACACTGTTTTCAACATTGGTGTATATTAATTTTATTTGAAATCAGAACCATTACTTTGAATATGAAAGAAAGCAGGCATTTCTGTTTTCTAGTTTACCTTCTAGTCATATAGTTAAATAATTAATCATATTGCATTTTAATATATGCTTGTATTGATGATTCCAACTGATGGATATGGACCATTTTTGGTCAGTTGGTTGCGGCTCCTCTCCTTTCAATTATACATATATACAGTGTGTCTGAAGAAATGAGAGCAACTCCTATCAATACCTTGAATCCACGAAGAACTGCAATGGTTGTTGCTGATTTTCTCAAGGTCTGGTTTGAACTATTGTTGTAAATGAAGAAAACTCTTTTGATTTCCTTTCTTTATTTGAATAAAAATGAATTTCTGTTTGACTGTTAATTGAATTCCAAAGCAGGAAGGAATTGTATCAAGCCCTGCTGATCTAAGATACAGAGAAAATTTGCTGTTTCCTCTGCAACTCAAAGAAGATGTGGAGAATGTAAGAGTGGGAAGGGCTTTGCACAAGGTCATTAGGCCTTCCAAGCTTCTTGAATCAAAACAAGTGTTTCCTAAGGAGAATTTTCTTTTAAATTGTGGGAATAAATGCATTGACATGGTGTTGGAGCAAGATGCTAGTGGTGAAGATGCATTGAGAGGGTGGCTAGTTGCTACATATGCTGCACAAAGTGAGAGTTTTCCTCATGAGCTCAGTGCTAATGTCCTGCAAGAGGCCTATGAGAACATGAATAGTGTGTTTCCTGTATTTTTAAAAGAATTACAGAACAAAGGGTGGCACACTGATCGTTTTCTGGATGGAACTGGGAGCCGCTTTGCATTCTAGTGCTCATGAATGCTATATTGGTTTTGCCTTGCCCATTTTTTCAAAGAATTCTTTTGTACTCTGGTTGGAGTAAATTCAATGGTTCACATCACCTAAACGTAATTTAACTGTATATTTTAACCATTATTTTTTAAAAGTAATGTTAGAGTATACACGAAAAAGAAAAAGAAAAGCATCTGTTGAGAGTCACACAACGCTTTTCTACGCAAATTCATATGAAATTTAATATATCTGCCCCCTGCGATATCTTTGGTCTATGTAATAGCATTAAATTTAGCATAGCTTTATTAATTTTTTCTTATTGATTTTCTTTATCAAATAAGAGAAACACAAAAGTCCAAATGAGTAATATCACACAAACAACAAGAACCATCAATCTTTATTCAATTAAGTGAGATAAGTTACATTAATCACCATGTTATTAAGCTCCAAATTTAAAAAATGAGTGATGTTATACAATTAAAAAACTTTGATTGACTGTAAAATTTATTATTTTATATGTTTCTATTTATAAAAAATAACTATTTTTACTTTTATTTATTATGAGATTTATATTGATGAGATATTCACGTTTTATCCAACATTTATTCATTTAGTACAAATGTTAAATTGACAAATTGGTGATATTGCAAAATATTTAACAAATTAAAATAGTGTTATTAATAAGTCTCTTTTTTTTTGTCTCTTTTAATTTTGTACTGTGTATTATTGTCAAATATTAAATTAACGCTCAATTAGGTAAAAGAAAAACTTGAAACTTAACACAAGGTCATATTTGAGCGACAGAAATATGAGAAACCAATTTCACGTGAAAGTAAATAAAAGTAATAATATATGAAAAAGCAAAAGAGACAGAGCATGCAAACATTGAAATTTGAAAGAAAGAAGGAGATAGAAAATGGTGATTGAGTTAGTGCCAAAAGTAAGATCGTTAATTTGTCTAATATTATTCACTTTTTAAATTTAATAATTACAAGTTTCTTCTAAGGGTAAAGTGAGTGTACGACAAATTTAAAGCAGGGGAAAGATTTTGCAATCAAATGGGGATTTTGTGAGTCCAATTTAGGTCTACACACGTTTAACTGTGAAAAAGGGTTTTTCAAACGTCATGTAAATATGATTGTTAATTGAAGAAAATTGGAAATATTAAAATGCGTACTTGGCTTAGAAGTCAAGTTAAAAGCTCATAAACAATAATCAAACGGTCAAAAGTCAAGTTTAAATGATTTATGTGTGCCAGTTTTTGGTCTCTGTCGTAGAGCAATTAGGTGTACATGTTTATTTTACTTGTTAAATGTTAACCAAGTGGGGTTCGACTTGTAATGCATATGAAAATCATTGGACCATATTATTTATGAAAATCACCATCATTTATCTTCAAAGTTTCATGCCATTTTTCACCTAATTAATATAGGTGACATCATACCTGACAACACGCATTTGTTTTCACATTGATTTAAAACAAGTTTCACTGGATATGAAAATCATCCTAATTTTTTCTTTTTTTCGAAAAAAGTATTTTAAATTTTAGTTTCATTCCAATTAGTTTTTAGATTTTATCTTTTCTATAATAATACAAACTTTATTTTTATAATTAATTTTTAAATTTTATTATCTTTATAAATAGCCAAGTTTTTTTTTCAGAAAGATGAAGGTAAGTTTTTTAGTTAAACAAGTCCTAAAATATTTAAAATAGCAACTATTTTGAAATAAAAATAATAATTAATAATGTATAATTATGAATTATAGAAAAATTAATGAACGTGACTCAGGATAACTAAGAATAATTGTAGGTTTCTTTTATCACTTAGATAATTTTATTAATAATAAAATATATTTGAAAATAATTTCTATCACTATTTATTGACGACGTACATCATTAAATGTTTGTCACGTCATCAATATATAAAATAATTAAAAACATATTTAGATTATGTTGTTTGGATTAATGTCCTTGCGAGTTCTAACTCGAATTAATGCAAAAGAATAATGTGAGAAATTGGGAAGGAAGATTGAGATCAAACTTGAAACGAAAGTGAAATACAAGTTTGTCAACATTGGATGCCCCAAGTCTATCAGCTTTGACTTGTTTGATGTTACTTTCTCTTACATTGCCCAAAATATTACAACTAAAAGAAAAATCTTTAATATTAGTGTAAAGGCCTACCGACTCAATTGCCCCAATTATAAGCCTCTTTCTTTGACCCCTTTAAAAACATTACTGTTTTATACCACAATTACACATATACGCCCACTTCAAATGTTTGTCTTCTATGATGTATTTTTAAAATATAAATAAATTTTATATTATATGAGAAGTTATTAAACAATATAAGTATTTAGATTAATGGATATCGTTAAGTGAGAATTTTTTAAGTTCGCCATAATGCTTCTTGCTTGGTTAGAAGATGTGAGTTAGGGTAAGTGCAAGAGACTATGCAACGCCCAAGTATATAATCAGGGCTTATAAAAAGTACATATGCTATTCATAAAGGTTTTGTCAAGTACATATGTAGTGAACCCCTTTCCAATAATTGTATATATGAAGTGTATATTCGACCTGCAAACAGAATGTATGCCGTGGATGAATGAGTATTTGGGTTCATCTGTCAAATGGTACAACTCTAGATACTCTTGTTTTCCTCGTGCATTTCAATTATGGCGAGGATAAGACCAAAACATTTTCCCGACACTGTCTAATTTCACAATACTGCATGCATAGTTTCTTATGATTATCTTATCAACTGCCAATGCCATTTGCCTTCACCCTTGTCTCTTGGCTAAGAACTTTACCCCAATACAACTTTAATGTTAAGATTTCTGGTTAAGAACAAGGTAACAATACATTTTACAAAAGTTGACATTCTTTCAAAATTAACTCCCCCTTTTGCAACATTTGTCTGTGTCTGAGAGATTCCAATTGAGATAACCAAGCCCCCGTCCATGTTTAGACTCCCTCGTATTAGTCGTATAGTTAGTGCAATTTAATTTATATGTTATTGATGTTAAGACAATTAATGTCTAAAATTTTTATGTTATACTTATTATTTTTTTATATCAAAGTAAATCGATATTTTTTGTTGTACATCGCACAATATGTCTTAACGAAATTAATGTTGTTAGCAGAACAGAACTTCTGCCCAAGAGCTCCACCTCTTTTGAACATTTCATTTAAAACGTTAATTAATGCATAAAAATCCCTTGCTAACAATTCCAATTCGAGCACAAATTCACCATTATTCTCTTATTTTATATAATTAATGAAAATGTTATACAGTTAAGTTTGATAATTCATTATGATACAAAAAATATAGCAAACAATGTAACAATTTTTGAATTAATTGCATAATTCATTATTATGATGGAATATAAAGAATAAAAAGGTTTGAAAGCATTGTTTTTACCGACTCTACTGACTACGTTGAATATTGGAATACTTTAGGACAAAGGGAGGGTCAGAGAAAGTAGGAGTACAGGCTGAACGATGAAATGATGAAAGACAAGAAGCATCAAAGGGAATGCACTTTAGATGTCATGCTCTTCTATTTTACACCCAATTATATTAGGCAAACCCCCACGTTTTATTTGACTCAACAACATTAGAGCAAAAGAGCCCCACACTAACACGGGTCCATATATTATTATTGTTATGATCTTCACTTCGCCACCCCATTCGTGCTATTTTATTAAAGCACCTATTGCTCCTGTGAGATTTTAAGCTTCACCTTTCCAGCTACAATTGCTAGTGTTTTGGCATAATGGGGAGAGCTCCATGCTGCGCAAAGATGGGCCTCAAGAGAGGGCCATGGACTCCAGAAGAAGATCAAATTCTCATCAATTACATCAACACTTATGGCCATTCCAATTGGCGTGCTCTGCCCAAACATGCTGGTACGTGTGGAGGAGTGTAGTAATTAACTCAATTCTAGTTATATAATAGCCTGCACTGATTTCATGAAAATAACATAGGGAATTCAATTATATGATTAACATGATTTAACCAAAGTCTTTCTCATTTTTTATCAACAGGCCTGTTAAGGTGCGGAAAGAGTTGCAGGCTCCGGTGGACAAATTATCTGAGGCCTGACATCAAACGCGGCAACATTACCAAAGAAGAAGAGGATGCAATAATCAATTTACATGAAATGTTAGGAAACAGGTAAACTTTTTCCCTTTTGGTCTCTCTTTTGGTGCATTTCATATTATTGCTGGCATTGATAATTTAATAGATTGAAAGACCAAGCATGCACAAGGGAATCTGCGTTCGAATACACTTATTTAATAATTTTTTAAAAAATAATAATTTGTAGTATAAATTTAACGATAAAATTTATTAATACAAGTTTAAACTAAAACATTTATAAAAAATAATTATAATTTTATACGTTATTCAGAAGTCTTTTCAATAAACAGTGATGCAAGGGTCCGAGAGTATCTTCATTTCTATAAATTGGGGGAAGTTGTTTTCTCTTCTGTAGCATGAAACTGACGGATCATGGATGCATGATACTTCAAAATAAACTTGAACTCTTGAACTTGCAAAATATTCTTTCTTGGCAGCCTCTTTTTCTCAATTATTGTTAGTTTTTCTCTAAGAAAGGAAATAGTTTAGTTTCTGCCCTTCATCCCATAGTTGTTTGGGCCCGTGAGCACTTTGGTTGTTCCTTCATTTTTAAGGCAAGCAAAATCATTGCCAGTTGGATACATGTCGGCGTGCGAAGATCCTTTCTTTTGCTGCAACATTTTCACGTGCTTTTTAAAATAACATATTTAAACACATCAATTATCCAATAACGTTACTGCTATTATTGTCACTTGGGCCAGCCATAGCTTCCTTATCTTATTCAAGAATTCCACTGTTAAGCGTTATGAAGCTTCGTCCTTTACTTATATTTACTTATTTAATGGATGTTTGGAGCATTAACCTTATGGTAATAATGGTGTGTAGATGGTCGGCTATTGCCGCAAGGCTACCAGGGCGCACAGATAATGAGATAAAAAACGTGTGGCACACCCATTTGAAGAAGAGGCTGCCACCAAACCAAGAGAGTCACCACCCAAAACGAAATAAAAAACAACAAACGTTGGATACTGTGGACGCCAAACAGCAACAACGACACCCCTCAAAGACACCCAAAGAAGAGAACACAAAGGACACCCCATTATCTCCTCCACAATGTTCTAGTGACAACAATAGTACCATAACTAATACTACTACTAATCATGGCATGTCCGTTAATATTAATATTAATGATGCTGACTCACCACAAAATAATCTTGCATTGGATGAGGATTTTTGGTCTGAAGTATTGTCTTCCGATAATTCCGGTGAGACAAGCGATTTTCCGACAATCGGTGCTGACTGTGATCAGATACAACTTCCCTTCTCTCCTCTGTCAAGCATGTGTGATGATGACATGAACTTTTGGTACGATGTTTACGCGAGAGCTGAGGAATTAAATGAGATTTTGGAATTGTGACTTATTTAAACTATTTTTGTTCTTAAATTGTAGCCTAGCTAGCTCGTCCATTCAATGGAAAACAAAAAATATTGTCGTTGTTCTATTGTTTGGACTTGAATTAATTCGATGAGTTATTCCCTGTTGCGTAGGTGACTATAAATTAATAAATTGTGTACATTGATTATTGTAATAGCTACGACGTGAATATGTTTTATCAAAAGCGTCATTTGTAGCAACATATAACAGTGTTCCTTAATCCTTATGGACGTCTAAAGAATTCATCCCTTTTTATGAGTTATATGCTTCATTTTGTAGTTCATTAACTATGAATCACCTATGTCAAATCAAATCAAACATGGAAAAATTAGTAGATGCTATAGTGCGTCTAAAAATACATAATAAATACATTTACTGTGATATAAATTGTAAATGGTAAACAAAATAGAATTAAGTGAGGGAACTTCATTATTGTTGAGATAATGATCGAGTTTCAACATCTTCATATATTGGATTTAATGTAGTAATTAGCCGTTTTAAAAGCCAAATACATAATAAATAGATTACAATTATAGAAGGACTATTCTTAAATTCATATGAATATATATATATAATTTTTTAGAACTTAATGTTCTTCTTTTCATCCTTAAGGACATTAAATTGTAACATATTATTTTTTTTATTGAAAGTTTAGCAAATATGTAATATTGGGGTTTTTAGGAAAAAAATATATCGAGATACTTTGTCTTTGTTACTCTTCCTACTTAAGCAAATTATATTTTAATGCTGATTGAATTTACATCTACTTACACTTTTAATTTGGACTGATCAAAATAAATATTAGCACAATAAATATAATTCTAATTTTCCAAAAAAAAAACTAAAAATATATTATACTAAATTATTTATTATGTATTTGATAAATGTGTTCATAGCATGGGAAGTAAATCTAGTTTACTTGAATTCAGTTTTAAGATTGTTGGATGATACTATATAACTTTATGATTATTCATGTTATTGGTAGTGTATGAAGAACAATATATCATATTGATACATGATGTTACAGAAATTCTGATGCTTTTTATAGAAAATAACTTTTTTATTTTAAAAATATAATTTTCACTTTTATGTGAGTGAGAGTTTTTTTTTTAAATATTAATAATACCCTCTCTTTAATACTTCTTCCAGTCTTTTTTATAAAAAAATAAAATAAAACATTTTCTTGGTCTTTATTATAAGAAACAAATGATAGATTCAAGATACATTACTTATTAAATTTCTTTTATACTATTCTTCTATTAGTATCATTAAATATATAAATTATTAACTACATTATTCAATATCATGGATATTTTTAAAATAAAATTTATATTTATAAAAATATAACATAATTAATTATTTTTTTTATTCATACTGATTTAGTCATTTATTTTTTTATAAAAAGGATCAAAATAAATATATTATTATTATTTAATGAATTACATGCAAGTCTCATAATTTAAATACTCATTATATTTAACGAGACTACATATAATTTATTTATTTTTTTAGTGCTCATAGCGAGTATTTTAAGGAAATAAAATAATCAATATTTAATATACATATGCTTAATACAATGTTTCTAAATTTGAGAACATATTTAATATATTCTTTAAATTATACTAAAATATTAAAAAATATTTATATCTTTTTTAAATACATTTCTAACTCTATTATAATTATTTTACGTATTAATTATTTTTAATATGAAAATATTATTTTAATAAACATTTTTTTACTTTTATTTGATGATATTATTTTAATAGTAGCGCCGCACCATCTTTATTTTAATAAATAATGGCGCATGATGAAATCTTAAGGAGAGATTCGGAGTTATCGATTTGTTCAATTAAAAAACTCAGATTGCGAGGTGATCATATGCAAAGGGAAAAAGAAACTTGTTATTATTATATATAAATAAGAATTAAAAATAAGAATAATCGATGTGTTTTTTTTTTTTTTTTTGTACCGATGGAGGCTGTAAGTAACATTAAAAGCACTTTGTTTTTCCGGTCAAAACATTAAGCACTTGTTTTGTATATTTTAACTTTAATTAATGGCCCAAGTATCTCTTGCCTTGTATTGTGTAGATTAGGGCTTGGGCTTGTGGGCTTCGGGCCTTTATGACCCAAAGTAAATAAGGCGGTGGAGAGAAGCGAAGCGAACGCAGTCGTTTAGCATCACCGCCATCGTCGCAACCTGAGAAAGAGATATCGACGTTACTCCGCGTTCCTTTTCTTCTTCTTCGATTCGTCTGATCCTAAATTCAGTTTGATTCTCTCACATCATGGCTACCGCTTCAGGTACTTAATTTCCCATTCAACTCGACATTCTCGTTCTCTAGGGTTTAAGATATCAATTTCACTTTATAACTTTCATTTTTTTTCGCCAATTTTTCTGATCCACGTTTCCTGGAAAAATCCGTTTTTCTCGTTTTTTTTTTTAAATTTTCTTTTTGGGGGCTTTGTTGTCGGTTTGTTCGTTCATGTACAGATAACTATTCGGATGAAATCCCAGCCAGATTTCAATTCGAATATGTTGATTTGTACTCACCATGTATTGTTCGTAGTTAATACGATCAATATTATACCTAGCAGGGTCTGAAGCATGTAGAATCTAATTTTTTCCCCTACTGGGTTTAGATTCATTGTTTGAAATTATTTGCACTATTTTTCAATTTCATCTTTTTAATTGTAACTATAGCGTGACTATGTATCTCACAATTTGCCCTATAACCTATTTTGACCGTTGTCTGAATTTTTTTTTAACTTGTATTGGGTGGATTGCAGTGGCATTTAAGTCGAGGGAGGATCATCGCAAACAGATTGAGTTGGAGGAAGCACGTAAAGCTGGACTTGCGCCAGCTGAGGTGGATGAAGATGGAAAGGAAATCAACCCTCACATTCCTCAGTATATGTCATCTGCACCTTGGTATCTTAATGCTGAGAGACCTGTAAGTCTTCTCATTCCTCTTCTCTTTTTATGGTCTTTTGAGATCTGCATGAACTTGTGCTGAACTAACGTTTTTTCCTGTTTTTTTTTTTTCTTTTTTTTCTTTTTGCTTGTAGAGTTTGAAACATCAAAGAAAATGGAAATCAGATCCCAATTACACCAAATCATGGTATGACCGAGGTGCTAAAATCTTTCAGGCAGACAAGTATCGAAAAGGTGCATGTGAGAAGTAAGTATCTCTCTCTAACTGTCAACTATGAGTGTGTACATGCATCCGCGTGTGTTATGTATGCAGAAGTGACGAATGCTCCATGTATATCAACATAAAGAAAAATTGAAATTTAGTATTTGGTTTATGTATGTCTTAGGACATTCATTCATTGTTTCCCCCCACTTTGATGGTGTCTTATTATCTCCATGGCTGACAAACTCTTGAGTAATCTATTACGAGTTCATGATTTTAGGACAATAATAAAAATCATTTTCACTTGTATATAAATTCTTTGCCAAACTATATTTAAGTAAACACAAAATTGGTCAACTCAATTCTAATTGGATTTACTCGAGGTTTGAGCCTCTAGGTGCAATTTTTGACTGAATTTGTTGGGTACTTGAGCTGAATTTCATCCACCATTGAATATGTGTTAGGTTTATGAAGTTAGTTTTGTATTTTAATACTTGTTTTTATTCTGTTTTTGAAGCTACAAAACAATTTAAGTGTGGGACTAAGTATGGCATAACAACTTGGTCAGTTATTGAGTTATATTATAATTTATTACTTTTTTTTTTGCTTCGTTGTAGACTTAGAATATGAATATTACTTATGAATATGTTATTTATTTATGTTTGGTTATTGAGTTTATGATTCAAATTTGCTGGGGTCCCATCAGTTTACCTAGCCTCTCAAGTTTGACTATCTTATTTGTCTCTGCATATATTAATATTATGATTATCTTTCTTGTACAAGATTAATTAAGTGCTTCAATTTTTATTCTCTTGTTATAGCTGCGGGGCTATGACACATGATGCTAAATCATGCATGGAAAGGCCACGGAGAGTGGGAGCAAAGTGGACAAACAAACACATCGCCCCTGATGAAAAGATAGAAACTTTTGAGCTTGATTATGATGGCAAGCGGGACAGGTGGAATGGTTATGATGCATCAACTTATGCTCGAGTGATTGAAAGGTATGAAGCTAGAGATGAAGCTAGGAAGAAATACTTGAAAGAACAACAGCTGAAGAAATTGGAGAAGAGCAACCAAACTGGTGAGGATGCTGCCAGTGATGAGGATGAAGAGGAAGATGATTTAAGAGTAGATGAGGCAAAGGTTGATGAGAGCAAACAAATGGACTTTGCCAAGGTTGAGAAGCGTGTGCGTACAACAGGTGGTGGAAGTACAGGAACTGTTAGGTAAGATTTATGTGGCTATCATTTTAATAATGCAAGACCAGGTCAATTGGTGTCAAAGATGATCACTTTCATTATTTATCTTCGATAAATTTGGAACTGAAATATCTTTTCTTTCAGGAACCTACGTATTCGAGAGGATACTGCAAAATATCTTCTTAATCTTGATGTCAATTCTGCACACTATGATCCCAAGACCAGGTCCATGCGTGAAGATCCTCTTCCAGATGCAGATCCAAATGAAAAGTTTTATGAGGTAACTTGTCTAAAGAATCAAAATTTATAGGAAACACTACTTTGCTTTTACTGCTATATTTAATCTTTTATATGGATTAAATCTGTTTTTGCACTGTAGGGTGATAACCAATATAGAAATAGTGGTCAAGCATTGGAATTCAAGGAACTAAACATCCATGCTTGGGAAGCATTTGATAAGGGACAAGATGTTCACATGCAAGCAGCTCCATCCCAAGCTGAGTTGCTCTATAAGAATTTCAAGGTCAAGAAGGAGAAATTGAAATCTCAAACAAAGGAAACCATTATTGAGAAGTATGGCAATGCAGCCGATGAGGACAAACTTCCAAGAGAACTTCTGCTGGGTCAGAGTGAGAGGCAAGTCGAGTATGATCGTGCTGGTAGAATAATTAAGGGCCAGGTAAGATATGCATGGTAAATCTTTACAGTGCAGCATTTGCAACTTGCATAAAAATCTTAAATATGCTACTTGGTGGTGTAGCAGGGCTTTCTACTTGATCTGCTTGCATTTTAGGGAATCACCATGAGTCTTAGTTTCAACTTTCTGGCTTCTGCATTATGCTTGTTGCTGTTATTTAAAATGATAGGTTCAATTGTTATTTATCTGATGCTTCTGACAGGAAGCAGCACTACCCAGGAGCAAGTATGAAGAAGATGTTTACATTAACAACCACACGACTGTTTGGGGCTCATGGTGGAAGGATCACCAATGGGGCTACAAGTGCTGCAAGCAGACAATACGTAATAGTTATTGCACTGGTGCTGCTGGTATTGAGGCTGCTGAGGCTGCAGGTGATCTTATGAAAGCTAATATTGCCCGTAAGGAGGCTGCTGTAGGTTCGTACGCTAACATACACCACGCCTCTCCTGTGCCTCTACCTCCTTCCCTATCCTTTGTTATTATTCTTTTTTTAACATGTTTGAGAATTTTGTTTGATCATATTTAGCATGTCTGTTAATCTAATTTTTTCCATGAACCCATACAGAGGATCCTACACCTGTGGAGGAGAAAAGGCTTGCTACATGGGGTACTGATGTCCCGGATGACCTGGTTCTGGATGAAAAACTGCTTGCTGATGCGCTCAAGAAGGTAAATATCAATCTATTATGCAGATATATTTTCTATTTGTTAGTCATTCTGTGTCTATTGTAACCCCTATAGAATTATATCCTTGTGCCAATAGCTTTGTTGACCTTAATTAACAAGGTCAAGATGCCATTGATTCAATCTAATTTCTTGAAACAAAGATGGTGTCTTTTAGCTCTACATTCTGGAGCATTTGAGATGAAATTATTCAGACATTTTTACATATGGTTTGCTGATTGTTGAGTTTTGGTGCTCTTTCACAGGAGGATCTAAGAAAGAGAGAAGAGAGAGATGAGAGGAAACGCAAATATAATGTTAGATGGAATGATGAGGTTACTGCAGAGGAGATGGAGGCATACAGGATGAAGAAAGTACATCATGATGATCCAATGAAGGATTTGCTACACTAAACTTGAAAAGTAAAAGGCCTGCATTCCTTTCGTTACAAGTTAAGGCAAAAGGCATGCATCCCTTACTCCCGAGTCCACAAGCCTCTGTTGTTTTCTTACTGCCAACTGGACAAGGCAGAATGGATCGAGGGTAGAATTATTTTGGTATGTACAGCTTTGTGGCAAGTTGATAATGTAAATATAACTTCTGGAACGCAAATCTGTTGTATTGACTCAATACTGTTAGTTGACTGGTTTTTTTGGTCCAATTCCTTATAGATCTACTTTCAGCATTACGTATTTATCCGCCCTCGCCCCCTTACATACTCAATTGTCTGCAAGCGACGTTAGTGATACTGTGATACTAATTTAAATGTTTGCCGGTATTGTTTGATCTATCTCAAGTGAAGCTCAAGCAACATATGTGTATCATAGTAGTCTTAAAATCTGTTTTTTTGGCTTAAATCATATTCATAAATCGTGACCCACAACTGCTGCACTGTAGCAATGGACATGGAACACGTTTTCGCATAAAAATTGGTGAGATATTTAGCCTACTCAAATAACCGTTTAAAAGTGAATGGAGTTGCTGAATTGAACTGAACTTGAGTAAAGACTTGTTTGAGAAAATTGAGCTGGAATTCTATATTTAAGACTAGAAGTTTGGTTGACCTCAATAGAACCTTTTTAACAATTCACGTTCATTAATTTGCCCTTTTCCCTTTGCCTCGGTTTGCAACATCACTCAGTGTGTGCGTGTGCAACTTCATTGCAGTTCTGCTTACTATTCCTAATTGAACACTAATCTTTGTATTTCGCACTAAATTTCCATGTAACCAAACTGAATTGAAGTGTATTCCGTTTGCATTTAAGCTTCGTTCTTTTTGTTGAAAAAGTACGTATTATGAATCCTTATTTTCAGTATGTTACTTATAAATCCCTATTTTGCATATTGTATTTTTGGTTTACCTTCAAGCATTTTTGCAACTTCTTTTGTTTGGTCCTGTAACAATCAAAAAGGCTGGTTTCTGCTAGTAGAACTCACATTTGACCTTCTGAAACAAAGCTTAAAAACGTACTACAAGATTCATTGTAACAGTAAATATTGCATGATGCATGCCCTTATTAAGTTCATTTTTGAAGTGTAAAATTACAAAACATTTTCTTATTCCTTTCTTCTTCAACAATGATTAAAAGTTCTGGTTTAAATGTTGCTACAGTAAATAATTATTTTTAAATGTCTTTGTCAGTGTTTTTGCTCCCTCCAAGGTAAATTGGCTTTAATGGTTGGTGATATTGGATAGGATTTCTACTAGGTGAATCTAGCCAAAGTTAGGATCCCCCTTCGGTTGTCTGTTTATTATGTAATGACATGTGGAGTAATCTCCACATCTCCTCTACTCCTGTAATTTCTCTATACAAATTTGGTCTGCTTTCTAATTTAAGTTTGGGTTTTAAAATGGTCAGTTTTTGGAAAATAAATCTCAGTTCACTTATCAGCAAAAGCAAATGTATTTTTATAAAATGGTCAACGTGACTTAATTCATAGAACTGAAATAATTTAGTGGACAATGAATTTGGACAGGGTGGTGGAGCTAATCTAGATTTGAAGTCTCCCTTATTTTCTCAACGGTTTTTTAGTCCTCTTTTTTTTATTATCGTAAAGTCTTTTTCTTAGCTTTTGATTTTGTATAACCGTTAGAAACTTCTAATATCCCTAAAATAGACTTCTTTCATAACATATATAATAAAATTGTTCAGTACTGCAAATATGTCTTTTTTATGCTTTTTTTTTTTCTTCTTGGGTGGCAATTTTTGTTATTCCCGGTGCTGTTAATTTCTCCTTGCTGAGCACCGGTTTTGTGACTAGATTTTATAAAATGTATTTACTTTTGCTGATAAAGAAAGTTGCAAATGAAGCTAATGAGTAACAACATAAAATTATTTAAACTTGTATATATTCTTGATAGGTGCAAATAATTTTACTAGTAAGAAGCCATGGATGAGACAGACATTCTGAAATTTGTATTATTCTAAAAATAAATTTAAACTACTATATTACAAACAATGAAAGATAATTGTATCATGAAGTTAAAAAAATTATTATAGTAAAACATTCAACTTCCACTCCTCCCAATTAGTTGCCCTTTACACTAACCACTTGCCACTTCATCATAATACAAAGAAATTAGTCAACAGTTTGAAATTATTTCACAGTGTAACTATTGTTAGATGATTGAGTATTTGAATGAAACTAGCATGATGAATGCACATTTAAAAAAAATATAAAAATACAATTACTGCTTTTTAGTTGAAAGGTATTAAATCTTTATTTGTGAGCAAATATATACTCAAATAGTAATAAAGAAATTTTTAAATTGAGTTTTTACAATATCATTTTATAAAGATTATTTCTATTTAATAAAAATATTGTGATTTAATTGTTTGAATATAAATAATGCATCATAAAGTAATGACCATTTTTTTTTACATGTTATTTCTCAACATGATGTTGCTTCTTTGACAGCTATTAGTCTTGATAATTGAAGAGGTTTAGATTTAGGATCATTATATAATTAGAGTTTATAACTATTATATTTGTTGGATTTGTATGGACTATTGGATTAATTTATGTTAGTTTGTAGTTTCACCCTCCCACATGGTATTTTTGCTTTTAACAGTTGCTTATTAGAAAACCACTGCTTTAGTGTGTATAAAGAGGTCTGACTTTTAGGTTCTTTTTATCCCCTAATACCACATAATCTGTTGCTGAGAACTTGTATCCTCCTGACAAACCTATAATTCAGGTTTTATCTATTGAAATATTAAGCTTTGCTTTGTGTTTTTGCTAGATCAGCTTCTCATTTATGGAAGTTAAATGCAGGATTCTGTCAAAGATTTAAGGATAGGCCGAGTTTCCCTTCTACTCTCTAAAAAATATGTCATTATTCAGCATAGTTAATTCTCTGCATGTTTTGGAGCGCAGAGCTTGCTTTGTCAAGTATAATGAGCCAATGATTAAATACTAGTGGTTCTACCTAAAGAATGCTGATATTTTACAATAAATAAATGATCAAATTACAGGTCCTTAGATTTTGGTATTTTACAATCCAAAGTTGCTTGACTGTATGTAGAATGCTTTCTAGTACTTAGTTTAAATTTTGGGGTTGTTTCTTTTTAGTCTTCTGCAGTTTCTATCTACTTCTATTCAGTCACTGCTTTAGGCTCTCTGTTGATTCTTAATTGCATGATGCATCCATTAATGACTTGGTGCCTACCGCGAGAGTGATTTGGACTATGTTCTTTTACTCATGATTCTGCTGTGACCTTGTTCTTTTAATTATGTTATAAATTAGAATTACCTCGAGGCAGATTCTACAGCTAGAGAGCAGATTACAGGACCAATTTCAGGTCAGGTGCAAGTTAGAAATGGCACTTGGATACAATCCTGCATGTGATTATACATTGGTTTACACTTCTTTTTGTAAAATTTTATAATTTTTATTGTTTTTTGTGTTCCAACCAGCAACAGAATTAGTTAAGGAAATTTCAGTGCTAAGTCACACTAGCAGTCAATTGTATTTTAACTGTTACGAACAGTGAAGTCAACTCAGCTATTTTTGACGCATTAGTTTGCTGGAGAACATGCATTTTCTAACAAAAATATCAAGCTTTTATAAATAGTTCTTATACTTCTGAATTACTGAGTTTTTGATATACTTTTCTTAAGCTGTATGTTGATTTACATTTATTATTATCTTTGCTTGTACAGCACAAACATCAGAAACAACTTTAACCTTCGTTATTATAGAATAGAAGGATATTTTATAAAAGTACTCATCACACATGTCATTGAATTTTTATAATCTTTTAGAGAAACTGTTATTTACATTTTTGGTGTTATACTGGCCATATGTAATGATATTTATAATCTTTTGTGATATACCAATATGCTCTGAAAAAAATTACGCTTGAGTTGTATTATGCCTGATTAGATTAATGATTTTTGTAGGTTGGTCCTTTGAGATGTTGGCCTGGTGGCTTTTGTCTCTCACGACCCATTGGTGATACGGATATTGGTGAATTTATTGTCCCTGTATCATACTGTAAAGCAAGTGAAGGTCGGTCACTGCTTTCCCCGTGTTTATGTTGATTAGTTGTTCTTGTCTTGCTTCCCTTCTTAATTATACTGTATTGTGTAATTTCTTTATGTACTCAAGTTTAATTCTACGTTGTTTTCCATCTCTGCTTCATAGGTACAAATAGAATTTTCGTAGCATGATTTTGTTACCTCTTTATAATGAACAGCTGAATTTGGGCCTACTTAAAATTAAAAATTAATCCCTGAAATTTGATTATACGCAAATTAGTTTTCATAGGTAATTGAAGTGTAATGATTTTTGTAGAAATGACCTTGAGCTTCAAAAGTGTCTCTGCATTAATTTATTTGCATAGCAAAATTTGCTCATCTATGTATCTTGCAACAGATTACAGGTGAGAGCTTTCAGTTTGTAAAAGGGTCAACGCACCAAGTACCAAGAGAAAGAAGGGATCGTAGATTCAGATGGCTCAGTTCTAGCAAGGGGGAAAGGAACTTACAAGAGGCAGCAACAAACTTGTATCTTACATTGCGAGTTCCACAAAAATTCCTGTTCTGGGTTATGCTGGTAAGACCTTTATGCTGCTAAAGACTTAATCGTGACGCACGTATTTCGTTTCGTTCATGATGTCTGACTACAATAATTGATACAGTTGATAGAATGTCCATACAGACTGGTCATTAACAATCTAGTAGATCTTAGTTATACCTATACTTGAAAAACAAGATGGCTTTGTTTCTTGGGTTCTTTATTTACATCTATTACTGTGATGAGATTCTAGTTTTTTGCAACAATAGATACCTAGTAGCTAGCTAGAACAAGTACTACAAATTTCTTGCTAAGATCTCTTGCTCAGCCAACTCTTCTCTGAATCTAGCGATGAACTCCTCCGCTCTTTCATCTATTCCATGCATTAGAGGAGAGGCTAATGCCAATGACTCCCACATAGCATCTGAGTCTGACGTGCATGGTTTACTTGATCCACCTTCCTTGCTTGTTCCTGCCACTCCTCCTTCCCTAGCCTCATAAGGGAGCGTTGCCCTCTTTTCAGTTCGTGATTTGTATGCTGTTTGTGGCTTCAAGTGCTCCACCAACTCACATGAAGGCTCTTTAAAAAGCTTATCTATGTAAACAGGTTTAGGCTTTTTGTGGAAGCCGTAGATGAAACTTGTGACTGTGGCTAACCTTTTGCGGCGAAAACGCTTGGTAGCAAGGAACTTAGGAGGGGTCCTGGTAACAACTGTCTTAGTGGCAGTTTTTGGATACTTTCTGGGTTTCTTCATGGCTTTGGAGCTACGAATCTTACGAAGTTTACCAAGTGTAGAAGTGAAGCTCTTCCATGCTTTTGTAGCAGTTGGAAGCCTTAACCTGAGTGTCATGCAGGACATGGAATGGAGAAGAGAGCAATGCTCCAAAAGGTGGGTTAAACTCAAGTTTTCAAATGGAAACTTGGGTCCTTTTTATAACATGCATGGTTTAGATTCCCTTCTTTCTATTGGAGTAGTATTCATATTTAATGGTTTTGCTGTGTGGAATGGCTTAGTTATTACGCGCTGAATATTTTGACAACATAAAAGGCTGCCAAATTCTCCAGCTAGCTTAATTATTAAGCTGACACTAATAAAATCGTAAAACTACAATCTTTACCCTTTTTTCCCACTATATTTGTTTATTCATGGTTTACAGCCTTACACTATTTGTTTTATGAGCACAAAAGTTACTCTATTTCATAAGAAAAAATGGATGTCAATTTTTTTTTAATAAATTTATGTGCAATAAAGAGAGATATAAAAATGAAAAAGAAGAATACGATATAGAATTATTTTTAATGTGATAAAAACTAGTTTTATAAAATGGTATTTCAACATAATTTATTGAAGAAAATGTATTATAATTTTCCCCTGAATATATGCATGACCGTGCGTGAATATATTTATAAATTTAAACTAAGATTCTTCTTACGAGACCAAAAGAAAATAACTGCGATTCTTCGGTTGCGTGTGAAATTTGTGGGAGAATGACAAATATACGATAAACTTTTACAATATTTTTATAATTTTTTGTCACATCACGTATTATATTTCTAAATTTTTTTGCATGTGATTTCAATAAATTTTTTGCTGTGATTTTCCACCCTAGCTGTGATTTTTATTTCTTTCGCTTATATCCTTTCTTCGTAATCATGAAATGTATTTACTATAATAATATTAAAAAAAAAAAGTAGCATATTGACCCGGTGTGTATTTTCATTTATCTTTTGTAAATTTATTAAACTGACTAGAACTAAATTATATTAATATATAGTCAAAATGTAAAATAGTCTGTGAAGTTTGTGATTGAAAAAATAGTAAGTTCTTACCATTGTTAGTGTATAGAACCTTCAAAACTTTTAAAATTTATCCTTACGCCTTTGAATAGATAACTAATAATGAATATTTACACACACAAAAAAAATAGAGGATCCTTTTGTAACGTCTAAGAAATAGAGATGAGGCTACATGATGGCTTTAAAAGAATATTACATTGACCATTAGATTCTATATTATCCAAATTATATGTTCACTCGAATAATTTGGATACATTTATCTGAATGAAATAATAAGTATCACGTTTGTAAGTTTCTTATATGTTTGAAATGGCTATTTTTTTCTCAAAAAAATATTTATATTTTAAAAAAATCTCCAAAATTTAGAATGAATGATTATTTCTTTAAATAAGACAAATCAAACACACCGTAAACTAGAGATGGACACTCTTTTTGAAAAAAATAAATTAAGAATGCACATTCAATCTTCATTAATATATTATAGTATGTCATGCATGTGCACAATATAATACTGCGTGGATAAACACCTGGTTTAGATGTTAAAATAGCACTGTTGTTCATTAATTTATCCCCAAATCTATTTAGCTCAAAACTTTCCATTGAGACCAGTGTAGCAATCCAGGGTGGGAGATGGAATTGGAATGGTAGTAATGGCATTGACCCTTCTGAGCTTTTTGTTCGTACAAAAGGTTATTAACATTTTAAAAGTATTTAAATATAAACATTATTTCTATCACATTAATGACAGTATTGAGATTTAAATTGACATTATCCAAATTATTCAAATTCTTCACCATTGACCTTTCCTTTCACTGTCTATATATTATATTGAGCATGGAACTCTAATATTTTTATATAACTGCATTTTTTTCGACTTCAACTAGAGACTAGTTATAACTCAATTTTAGTGTTAAAAAGTTTAATTTATTTTTTAAATTAAATTTTAAAAAATAATTATATACAGAATAAAAAAATAATGTTACTTTTCTTTTCATTCTAAAATTGATTGTGTTCATTTAATATTTTTGAAAATATATATCCTCGTTTTTCAAAAATATATATTGCAAAAACATATTGAAAAAAAAAAGGATTCTGACATGAGGGAAGAACTATTGTAGTTATGTATCTCAGAATAATAGTAAGTTTATATCACGCATTAGTCGATTTATTTATTTATAAAAATAACAGAAATCATTGTTTTAAAATTTTTGAATCATCAAAGAGTTTCGATTGTTGTGTGTGTGTTTGGATGTGATTTATTGTGATCTTTCGTAGCCCTCTTTCTCTCTATTCGCTTTCATCTTTGAATTTCTTTCTAATTGATTTTATAGAAGTGGTGTCTTCTTTGCGAAAACGCAGACATATATATTAGTTTTTCAGTAGCTAAGCCACAAGAAAGTAACCCTTAAATTAAGAGATATATAGTTTATCAATAATACATCATCCTTCTAATATATTCCAAAACCAAATCACAGAGCAGTGATTCCCAATTCCCAATTCCTAGCCCATCTAATTCCCAGTGAATAACATTAGCAAAGATTAAGAGAGGCGATGAATGATGAATAAGATTAGGTGCATGCCTGGTTGGCCAACGAGAATTGCTTGGCTTGAGAAGCAGCTGAAGCCTCAGAAACTAAAGCTTGAATGATCAAAGTCTTCACCTGCCAAGGCTTGTAAGGAAAACCCTCTCTCGCATAAGAGTTAAGCAACGCTGCACTTCCTTCCTTCACCAACCCTCCGAAAGCGTTCTCCTCTTCGTCGTTCCTCGCCGTCGCTTCCAACAACGTCAGATCCGATCTGTACCGTTCGTACACCCTCGACCCGAACACATTCGACACCGTCGATGTTTCTGGAACCATCCTCGGCCACGCCTCTCTCCTACCGCTCCAGAACCTCATATTATAAAACCACATTTAACAAGGTTAGTTCGTTGAAAACAACAGTAATGAATACAAGTGTGTGTGTGGGTGGGTGGGTGGATTATTACTGTGGCGTGCATCTTCCTCTGCTCCTCGTGTAGAGGAAGCCTGGCCTATGATGATGTCTCTCTGGCGCTGCCATTGTTTGGGAAGAGAGGAGTAGGAGGAGACAAAGGAGAAGCGCAGGAGAAGCCATTGTCGTTGCTGTCGTCTTCCACATTTGATTTTTTTATGCGGTAAGAGATGTGAGGTTTCTTATTCATTTGGTTTATGCTTGTTTGAACGTTACACTTGCACTGTGGAGTGGAGTGGATGGAGGGGACTCTTCTTTCTAGGAACACGTGACCCCAAGCTACTCGGACCAAGGTACCCTTCCTTTTTTTAACTCCATTCTTATTTCACAAATAATTTAATATTTTCTTTTACATTTATTTTTATTTAATGCCTTTTTGGTTTTTATAAAATATTAAATAAACCTGAAGTGTTTGGATTGATAGAAATGTAAATATTCATTATATATTATCATTCTTTTACAATTAAATATGCCACATCAGCGTCATAACCTTCATTTCTTCCATGGTGGTGATATATTATTATAAGGACTAGAGAGAAGCCTGAAGGAGGGATTCGTCACTGAAGTTGTGCTTACGAGATGTAGACATTTTTTAGCATCAGACGGTGACGGGCATGTAATAAAAGATGGATGGATAATTTTTTTTATAAGTAATTGTAAAGGTAAAAAATAAATAATTAAAATAAACAAAAAGCATTTATTTATTCATCTTTTTTAAAATTCAAGGGTATAAGTTATTTTCAATTTATGATAAAAAAAATGTATTTGTTTTTTATATTAATTTATAACTACCTATTTAAAAGATTATCTAAATTGAGCCTGATAACCAGTTATTATTATAGACGCTTAGATTGGACTCGCGAGGAGACGAGTTGGTTTGCAGTAAGAGAAGGCAAATTTTCGGAGAAATATGAAATGATAGACATGAATCTAGAAAAAACAGAGTAATGACATTTTTAAGTGGATGATTTGTTAGAAGCATTGAAGTATCAAATTTTAATTAATGGGACAGGAATGGAGACAGAGAAAAGGTACAAAAGATTTGAGTCCCTATCCTTCAATATTAGTCTTCCACATCACAGCTATTACTTAGACCAATATATCGTTATCAACATGGTTTTCCTTTTGTTTTGCAAGAAAGAAACAAATTAAAAAATGAAACTCAACACTGAACTCACAAACTAAAAGAAAATTCATTGGAATTTCCCTCTTTATTTATACTTTTCCCGCAAAAGTTTCGTGGCTCAGGATAACAAGGATACACTAATGTATTACACATTACATAAGGCAGCAAACCTTTGTTTTCTTATTATTATTATTTGTTACTCACTCACTAGTGTCAAAAAGACAAGACTGTGGGAAGCACACATGTCACGTATGCAAAATGGCCTCCATTGTGTCTAAGCCACAACTCTATTTTGAGAGTCACGAGGAGGAACCAAGAACTTGAAGGGGTTGTTCTTCTTTACCTGTCTTACCTGTTCCTTCCGCAGGTTGAATGAACGAGCTACCACTTCCTCTGGCATTGCATTGATCAAAGAGTTTCCGCCTGCAAGTGTGGCCATCATGGGTTTATCATTCGTCTTGAATGCCACATACTTGAAGCTGTTGCTGAGGGACTTGGCAGCCACAGCAAAGTTTTGTGGCACTATCAGCACCTCACCCTCTTCCAGATTCCCGTCGAAAACCGTCTCGCCCATGCAATTCACCACTTGTAACCATGCCCTCCCTTTCAATCCGTATAGTATGCTGTTTGCGTTGAGGTTGTAGTGAGGTACAAACATAGCACCCTGTACCATCCATCATTTTGCTATAGGTTAGAACAATCACTGTGTGATTAAAGTAATTGTAAATATAACTAATAAAAAGTTCAAGATAATTTTTAAATGACGTTGTCACACGTTTTAGTATAGAAAATTTTCTTACGAACATGTAAAAAAAATGAACTTTTTATAATTTTTTTCTCACGTAAAAATTGCCGAATCATGCCTTAAAAGGGAAAAAGATTAGGTACCTTGAGGAGAGATCCAAACTCAGCACTGAGTTTGAGCCACCCGAGGGCTGAGAAGTCGAGGCTGGTGGCTATTTTGACGCTACCAGCTTGAGGGTTGAAGATATCCGGTGATGAAGATTTACCAATGTTGTGGCGAAGTCTCATGGTGCAAATTGTCTCGTCAATGCCATTTTTGCTTTTGCTTCTGCTTGCACGTGGGAAGGGACAAGAGCGTGTCCTCGTCTTGCAATGAGGCTCTTCTTCTTCCTCTTCTTCTTCCTCTTCTTCTTCCTCTTCTTCTTCCTTCACCTTTTGCTGCTGCTTCTTCGTGGGTGGGCTTATGATGCTGAGATCTCCTTCCACTTTCACAATGCCTCCCTTCTCCTCCTCCTCGTTCTCACCTTGTAGGATTTTCACTATTTGCTTGTTCACGCCTAACGCATCTTCCAGGAATTCCATAGAGAAACCACTGAAAATGTTGCCCCCTTCATTTTCTGCTTCTTCCTTTCCTTTCCTGCTTTGACTGCCACTTCTCTGTTGCTGATATTGTAGAAACTCTTGCTCTTGGTTCCCGGCAAGGTAGAATCTCTATTATTAAATAACAAACAATTCCCAATCTTTAGTGTACCCAGAAACTAAATAACAATATATATCATTTATCAAATTACCATATCATATATACGTGATCATCATGTATATATATAATATGGCAAAAAGAATGAGAATGTTAGGAAGCTCACCCTGGGCATTTGATCAAGCTGGTTCTGGAAGCTGTTGGTGTCAATAAGAGAAACAGCAACCACTGGGGTGTCTTCAGGATTGTACATCCAGAAAGCAACACCAGTAGGCACCGCAATCACATCACCCTCTCTGAACTGATTGACCTTTTGGTGACGGTCCTGGAACTTGACACTTTTTCCTTGTTCATATTCCTGTGGCTCTTCAAAAGTTTCAGGACAACCGGGGAATATCATCCCAAAAATACCATTACCTGTTCGTATTAAACACAAAACACATTACTATATATCGTTTGGTATCAATGAATTCTAAGAAAGAATCATTTATTTCAAAAGTTATTCATAAAACTACAAATAATATAGAAAAATGTTTAAAGTAACTGACTTTTATTGAAGAAAAAAAAAAACATTTTTATGTTAAGAATGTAAAACAGCTACTTTTAGATGTTTAAATAACAAGATGAACCTTGTTGGATGAGAATTTCCTGAGGAGAATTGGTGTAGAAAGGTCTGCGAAGGGCATTGCGTTGAAGGGTGCAGCGAGAGAGAGCCACACCGGCACAGCGAAATTGGTTGTTTTTGGGGTTCCATGTCTCAATGAAGCCAGCTTCTGACTTTATACGGTTATCGGGTTTGAGGGTAATCAGGCGTTCCAGATGGCACTCATTTTGTTGTGGCTGTGCTCTGAAAGCCAAGCACCCACTGAAAAGCATAAGACAAAGGGAAAGAGAGAGTGCAAGAAGCTTAGCCATGGCGATGACAAATGGAGAAAATGTTTGTTGTGAAGCGGAGAACCTGAGGGTTGTTTGTTTATAGGGGAGAGAGGGAGGTGAAGGAGGGACACGTCGCAGGACATTCTTCAGCATGCATGGCTATGGAAGCCTTGTGTGTTACACCTCATGAAGTCTCATGGGGTGAGGTGGCTTCAAGTTCAACATTTCCATGACTAAACAAAGAGCAAGCTTGTTTGTATTGCAATTGGTATCAGCCTTGGTGGAGAGGGGGGGACCATGGTTTCATTTCTTTTCTATTCCAGGGTTCTTCCTTCCATTTTATGCAGGGTGATTATTGCATATTTTATCGTATGATTTTTATAATACAATATTTCATGATAATAATTTATATTTTTACTGAAAGTTTAGCATTAAATAATTAATATTAATATATTGAATTGTATTTAATTATGTATTTTTAATAAAAAATATATATATTATATATTTATTATCATACACACAATGCTGCATAAGTTTTAAAAAAATAGTTATAGTAAATTAGACACAATTTCAATTTCTTTACAACTTTATCTTATATTACTAAATTATTCAAACTTTTTTTTTTTGTTAGTTTCAAACATGTTACACGAGAGAATTATTGTCCTGTATGTAACCACATGGTCTTGATCACTCAAATTTAGACATGTGTTAATATATATATATATATATATATATATATATATATATATATATATATATATATATATATATACATGTGTGTGTGTCGTTTATTAGTCAAGATTACCATAATTATTTTGAGCACTTAACTTATTTGAATAGAGTTGAATTATGTTACTTTTTTCTCCTTTCAATAGAAAAAACATAAAAATAATTATAATTAGATTGATTGTTATTATTCCCGTAGCCTAGATAAACTAAAGAGGGGGCTAATTGAATTCTTAAACTTTTCTTTTAATTTATACACTTTAATTCTTTTTTTAATAAAATATAAGAAATTGGATTGAAATATAATAGAATAAAAAAATGTAAGAAATTTAGAATTCTAATAATATATATAAGCAAGATAATAGAATGTAAACTTATAATAAATGAAAAGAATACAGACTTAATTTATACTAGTTTGATCATTGTGGCCTACATCTAGTATCAAAGCAATTTGCTTGAAAGTTTTATTAACTTTGAATTGTTTACAAATGAACTCATATATATTGAATCTCCTACTCTTTATGGCTGAACCTCTTAAAAACCAAGACATATCATACTGTTCATCTAATAAGGAATACATCACCTTTTGTGTTTGAGTCTCTTAAGAATCAAGAGATACCACACTCTTGTTCTAATAAGGGATACCTCAACCTTTTCACATTCTCAATGAAATAATACAAGACAATTATTCTCATATTAGAGTAGATATTACAAATTGAAGTATTAAAATGTTTTTAAAAAATAAATGTATTTGACTAAGAATTAAACAAATGATTGATGAATAAGGGTGATTGTTAAAATTATCTAAGTTCTAATTATTCTAACGGTTACTTAATCATTTGACTTATTCATCTTAAAAAAACTCTATGCTCTTGTGCTTCCAATTATTTGACATTATCAAAACTTATAACATAATATTCACAGTTATTATTTAAATAGGATTGTTAAATTATTTTCTGCATAATTATAGTACCTCATATTTGATCTGACCAAATACAGGGATTATGTTGTCACTTTCTGCAATTTCCAAATAACTTTCAAAACAAGGGAAAAATGATAAAATTCTAATCAATTAATAATGAAAAAGAAAGTTACCCTTTTTTGAGTACTTGTTAGGATTGAGACCGGCAGAAAGTCCTCCACAAGTGGTAAATCATGGTTCGATTCCTTACCAAGAGAGACATTTACATACAATATTCGCCCTTTTCTTACATGGTAAGTATGTTTTGACAGTTACGACCAATGCACAACCGAAGTGTTCTCCCGAGTTTACATTTACTCTGCTCTTGCCTCGGTGCCTTTTTCTTTGTTGGGTCCCTTTTATGCTACAGAATGGACATTTTTGTATATACTTACAAGGGACCTGAAATTTCTTCCTTGATCCTTCAATAGTTACTAATCAAAGGTATAAGCAATCTGATGAGAAAATGATTTCTCTTTGAATTGTTAACGGTGTCTCGAGCTCATCAGAGCTAGAAATCAACTCAAGAAGGCAAGGGCAGCAAGCTCTCTCAGATTTTTGGATGCAATGAATTCCACATCATCTTATATTAACCCAAAATTGATTGATTAAGAATCATAATTTTTGAATTTGAATCCTATATACCTACCAACATATGAGATGCAAAATCTTACACTTTACATCAAACATATTCTTCATTGAATCGTGGAAATAAAGTCCAACCACATAGGCTTTCATACTTTTTATGTATTGCTAAACCTCGAGTTTCAGGTCAACATGCAGAAATCATGTGCAACAAGAAGCTAGTGACAAAACACGAACTAAATGAAGTAGTAATTTCTATATGAGTTATGAAACAAGTTAAAAATAAAACTCAAACAAATCAATGCTTTAAAAGTAACGATTCTTACTCTCAGACTCAAACGACCAAAGGAATATGCATCGGCATGTACGATCAAGAAATCTTACTTGTAACACAAGCAAGTGTATAAATAGGTGTTCACAGAGAGCAAACTCACACTGACTTTCGTAATCATAATTCAAGCGGAATATATCCATAACTGCTGCAATTGTTGGCGTGCGAAGATGATGAACAGAGTAGACATGGTAACTGGGATCTGCACCCTCTGTCTTCTCAGTAAAGCGAGGTTTCTCTTCTTCAGAGAACAAATCAAAACTGCGACCTCAGAATAATCACTGAAGAAGAGAAAGAACGAATCCGAAGAAGGATGAATGCAATTAGGAGCGTTAGCGTTCATAGTGATTTTGGTTTTCGATTGAACGTAGATTTGAGTGTTTGTTCTCCAAAAAAAAAAGATTTTATTATTTCCTTTTATATATTGTCTTAACAATATATTTATTATTTTATAAAATAAATATTAAAAAATTAGAATTGAAAAAAAAGGGTCTTATAAAACACAAATTCTTGTGTTTTTAAATCAAGGACTAATTTGTAGTTTTAAAAAACATATAGCATCTTCACTTGTTTAGCAAGTTGCCAAACAAACATGATCACATAAGTATTGAAACCATTATTAAATTTTCCGACTATCTTCCATGATTAAATTAATAAGTTATTTCTCAGCTTACTTTGATTGTGTTTACTTTAGCCTTGACTGCTACGCTTAAATATAAAATCTTTACAAAAGAAAAAAAAAATTTAGGAAAGAGAAATAAAAAATTGTTATTAAAAATTAGAATATTTTTTGAAGTATTAAAAAATGTTTAAAATGATGTTATCAGTAAATCTTAACTATTATCCTGTGCACAATAATAAACACAGATAATAAATTATTAATTCAAGCATATGTATTAAGATAAAGATAGATAATCAACTTTGATGATCAATGTATAATCAAATTTAATTAAACAAAAGCAAGTTGAATAAAGCATAACAAGAGTGTCAACAAAATTCGAAGGTCAAATTCCATCGTTGGAGGAGTCAGATCCTATATATTTGCTCAAAGAAGTTTTTCCACTTGGAATAAATTTTTCTAATATTCTTTCCAAAGTAAAGAAAGCCACAAACACAACTTCTGATGAGGATCCACCGTAAGCTAAATCCTAAAGAAAAGGAAAGAATCAAGTTCCTTTGTGCCCACTTTTCTAATCATTAATGAGGTTACTACTAATGCATCTGGTGTGGCGCATCCAACATAGTTGTTTAGCCTACAAGCGTGATTTATTATCCCTTCGCATTAATACAAGGAAGTGAATTAAAATGCGCGCATGTATAGGACGAACCAAATTAACATAATGAGAAACTAGCAATGATCTCACAAGGATTAAACCTCGAGAAGAAACTCCTGCCAATTACAAATTTAGGTAATATAAATCACCCTCACAGAAGGACAACAGATTATTACAAGATATGGACAACGACAAAATATAAAGCTAGAACATAAACGCCACCTTCGCTTTCCTCATTCGGTATTTGTATTTCCCTTCAAGCTAGATTCAGCATTCTTCTCGTTTGTGCTATCCACTACTTTGGTTTCAACAAGACCATCCCCCTCGGTTGCATTGGCTTCAAGAGTTATAGACTTCTGGGGCAGATTTTTTATGTCAAGATTCTGAGAAGCTTTGGATTCTTCAGATTCATTGCCTTCAAATCTTTCAGCTAGTTCATTGGTCTTTTGAACAGCTTCTGCATCATGCTTGCCAGTGTCCGCATTTTGAGGTTGTTGTGCCCCAGACCTTTCAGCAGCTTCCAACTCCTCATATTTGGAAACTACCTGTTGCAGCTCATCATTGAGATATAAAGCCTCAAAAAGGGTCGCTTCGTCATTTGTCGTGCTTTCCACAATGCCCTTGATGATAGAAAGTGATTCTTTGCACTTCTCCAACAAGCTCACAGTTAGATCTTCCTGCAGCCGATTGTAAATTCTATGAATATACAGAGATATAGCAATTATCTGATATACTAACTGTATTTTGGGGGCAAAAGAGAGACTGAGTCACTGAACACATACAACAAATATTATGAAGTAGTAAAAAAAGCCCCAATTCATTATTCGGGTAATTTTGCTTTTTTTTAACTTCAAAAGCTTTACCTTCAAAGGTTTTGGCTCAGCCTCAGAACTTAATATGCTAGAGAGCAATTCAAGACTGTTTCGAGCAACCACGAGATGCTCCTTCTTCTCTTCAATTGATATGTGTTGGTAATTAGAAGAGAAAGCAGCAGAGTCATCCATAGCATGTAATCCTGCTTCAGGAATTGGGTATCTTTCAGGAGGATCTAAAGGTTCATGGGTAAATGACTCCGAGCCATATGGAACAGGTTGTGAATTGCCTCCGGTCATGTCGAGTGGTTCAGCTCTTCCATTCAAACTCTGCCATCAACCAGGGGAAGGATGCAGAAGAATCCATCATATCAAAATACGAGACATTGCATTTTTAAAGAGTAGAAAACAAGTAAGAATGTGAAGCACAACACACTTATGCTCAGTGTATGTGTGTTCCCTTATTTTTATAATAAGGAACATACATAGACATAGCTTTGAAATTGATCAGTACAGTAATTAGGCTAACATATGATCACACTGCATTGCCATGTGTACCCTAATAAAGAATAAAAAATAAAAAAAAAACAGTGACTGACGGCACAAACATGAAGTTAAGCTTCTACGCGAATAAACTAAAAACAAAACATGAAAAAGACAAGAGTAACAAACAAGACATCCCAATAACGTTATGCTGAGTCAATCATAACACATTCCAAACAAAACCAAAAAATATAAAAAGGAGAAAAGAGAATTACCATGTAAGTCTGACGAAAGACAGGAAGATAGGCAAGATCCTCTGACTCACCCCAAGCCCTAATCAACTGAAAAGCCCGTCTTCGATTGTGAGGATGGGCCTGTGGATTATCAATCACGCGAATCATATCATCTAGAACCTTCTCGGAAGCAATTTCAGAGAAGACCTTTTCACAATTCATGGCACAAGCTTCCAAGAGGTCGAGGCTGAGTGTCTGAACAACGGAGCTCTTGTGATTGATCTTTCTCTTGATGGCCTTAACAACCTCGGAGCCATTAAAGTGTTGGGAATTGATCATGCCACATATTCTGAGATTGATGCCCCAATTGGGCTCTTCCATGGTCTCCAAGGTGGCCTCATCCACCATCTTGGACTCAGGAGTTGGGGCCTGCAAGATCTCCTTCACCTTCCCACTCACGATTCGCCCCATCTGGGCCCCACCCGTCTTCAGCCTCTCCCCGAGCTCACCCAGTTTCAACTTGTCCATTCCCAACCCAAAATCGCAAAATGTTTCGTTGTGGTGTGAGAAAGTGACAAACCTTGAATGTGGTAGGTTGAGGGAAACCCTAGATGAAATCTCTGCAGAGTTCAACTTTGAAGATTACAACAAGTGAATCCGAGTGTGATTGATGTTGTGGTGGTCACGGGTATTCTGAACAACTGGGTTGAATTGGTTCTTGTGGGACCGCCACGTGTTTTCTTTTTAATGGTTTTAAACTGGGATTTGTGGGTGTGGTTAATCATAATCATTATCATAAATTATTTTTCCTCTTGTTTAAATAAGTTTCAACTTGTCACGCTTTCAACGAGACAAAATTTACGCCGAATAATGCTTTCATTGTAATAATCATAGCTCAAAGAAACCCTTTTTACGGATCTCATGAAAATTGTTTTTAAATTTAATACTTAAAAAATTATATATATAATATTTTTTATTATGCACAATGTTGTATAAATTTAAAATATAATATTATGTATGAACTATATATTCTTTAAAAAATAATAAATTTAATATATTTTTAATTCTCAGAACAAACTAATTGATGGAAAAAAATATATGAGATTTATAATATATGATGGGGGAGGAGAGGGGAGACTTATCTAAATCAGATAAAATGTTTGATCTAATTTTAAATCTTATTTTTTACTGTTCAAGATTAAAAACATATGATTGGAGTATAGTAGGGTTATACATATTCGAATAAACCATTTTGATTCGTAAGAATCCAAATAACCTACTCAATCAAAAACGGATATTAATAAGCTTTGAGTAAGTAGAATACTTTTTCTCAGATTAATATAGTTAAATAAGGTCGATAATAGATATAAAATTAGAAAATTATTGGTAATTAAAATCAATCAGATACATGTGTGAATATTTAATTTATTAAATATAAATCTCAAATTTTTTATCATTAATTCTTCTAAAGCTGCATAAATTACTTTTTTGTGACAAATCAAGTCTCTCGCACTGTTTTTTCTCATTAATGTGAATGTTTAATTTGGGTCCAGGCCCAATTCCGTTATTAGGTCTTTAAGTTTTAATTGAGAGTGCAGTATTTTTTTCTCACTTTTCTTTAGTCTGTGCGTCACACCTTTTGTTTGCTATCTTTGAACTCTATTAGGATTTGAAGTTTTTTCTCTTCTCTATCTGTCTTTTTTGTTACCATAGTTTTTTTTTTCTTTCATTTTACTACTCTTACTCTCAACCAATCAACCCCACTTCCCTCTTTACTAAGGTAAGTATTTTTATTTTTTTTGTTTTTTATTTCCTTGGGATTAGGGTTATGATTTTTATTCTTTAATTTTTGTTAATATTGTTATGTGTTTTTGTGATTTGATTTAATGGATTATTGAGTTTGTGTTTTTGTAGGTGAAGGATTTACTCATTCTTATTTTTCTGTGTATATTATATTTTGTTATAGTGTCATTTATTAATCTATTGTTGCCCTTTTCTTTGTTTTATATTTTACTTTCTTTCCTCTCCTTGCAAAGGTAAATGCTTTAGAAATGTTCTATTTTTGTTAATATTGTTCTATGTTTTTGTTATTTGGTTTAATAGACTATTGAGTTTGTGTCATTGAATGTGAAGGGTTTAATCATTCCTTTTTTTTTTACATTATATTTTATTATAGTTTTTTTTTGTCTGTATATGTTATTGTATATTGTTACTTACTTAACCTTTCTGATATTTATTTGATTGTTGTCAATATGTGAAAGAGGGAAAGAAGGGCAAGAATAGACATCCTAAATCAGTATCTGTTGCTGTTGTTGCAGCAACATCTGCACAGCCATAGGCTGTTCTTGGTAATATCTTATATCAACATATTTATGATCTAATTCTGTAGGTATTAATTTTTTGTAATTATTATCTTCCGTGCAATGTTTTATGTCGAATGCAATTTTTTGGCAATGTCACACTTTGATGACATGTAAGAGGTGCATTGTTTTTTTTTTGCTTTGGAAAAATAACTTCATATCGTTGCTACTCTTTATAGGCTAAGAATATTTTGTATAAGTAATTTTAGTTTATATAAATAAATTACCTTTGCTACCATTTTTTTATTTAATTAGATTTTTTTTTGTTTTAAAATGTGTAAGTTTAACTAGTAGTATTTGCCCCCCAACCTAAAGTAGCTAAATGAGGAAGTAAAATTAAACCTTGTTCATACATGGACTTCTCGGGTACGAAATGAGCCACTTCAAATAGGTTCATTGCTCCAGCCCAAAATACTATTAATCCAGCATAGGCTACATGGGCCCCTAGTAGTTTACCGGATAAATTGATAAGTCGGGCATTCCTGGCCCACCAAGCGAAACTGTTAGTTTCTTGGTCACGATCAGTTATAGCTAAAGTTTCATAAAAGAGCGTACATCTTTCAAATATTATTTTAGAATTAGATAGAATTAAAACAAATTCTTTTTTTAATACTTACTCATTCGTTATTATTATCAATTAATAATCCTAGTGATAGAATTTATATATATATATATATATATATATTAAAAATAAAATTTATATATAATTTTTTATTGAATGACTATTCATCTATTGTATTTTCATGTGAATAGAGGAAAAAAACTTTATGGAAAAATGGTGGTTCACTACGTTGGTTAATAGGGAATTAGAATATAGGTGTGGATTAAGTAAATCAATAGATAGTTTTGGTCCTATTGAAAATACCTGTGTAAATGAGGACCTCACCAAATTCTGAGGAGTCGGTATCAATTTATGTTTAATTGCTCCACATATAGTTTCTCTAACCATATTTTCTAAACGAATCAGGGCCAATCCAAATTGATCTTGTAATAGATCTGCTACGGAACGAATACATTTATTTTTCAAATGATTTATATCGTCAAGTGTACCCATTCAAAATTTCATTCTAATCAAATGATCCGTAGCTGTCAATATATCTCGCGGTAACAAAAATGTATTGTTATGAGGTATATCAAGATTCAGCTTTTGGTTCATATTTCATCGACCAATCCTTCCTAATTCACATCTTTGTTTACATACTGTTGCCATGCTTTTTTTATGGGCAAAGAACATTTTGTGCAGGTAATTAGTTATTGACATAAATAATTTACTTTTGCTACTAATTTAGTTTTTAATTATTTTTTATTTTTTATGTTTTAGAATTCGCAAATTAAATTGGCGGTGTTTGCTACAACGTGTCTAATATTAAATGTAGATTACAGGTGACTTCTATTTTATTTATTTTTCTATTATTTAAATTTGACAGTATTGATTATAAATCTTAATTATGTATCATGATTTTAATGTTACAGATTATGAATCCTAATAATAATGTATCAACATTGCATAGTATGCACACCGGTCATTTAGATTTTTGGTAATCTATTCACTTTATTTTTTTGTTTATATATATAGAATTCTTATCAAATATTGTTATGCTTTGGTTATATTAAAACTAACTATATTTTGTTATGATAAGAAAACAAGTTATATATGTGGATACTACTAAAATATAATTTGTGGATGTTATTTATGGATAATTTAGTCAAAATAGTGAATACGTAGATACTATCAAAACATAATTTATGAATGTTATTTTTGAATAATTTGGTCAATATAGTGAATATGATGATCATTTTATATTTCATTAATAGGTGTATTTTAATTTAAATTTTGTGGCATATGTGAATAAATGTTATCATAATTTTTTGTGAATGTTATTGTTGGATAATTTAATTATATACAATGGATAAATAAGACTAATGGTTTACATTTAATTAATTAAATTTTTTGGCAGTTTGCTATTAGTCTATTACTATAAAAAAAAAATTAACAGTTTAATTTTATTGTATTGAAATATGTTAATGATTCATATTTTAAACTATTTTTATCTTAATTTAAATTTTGACATGCATCTATTTTTTCTTACTATAACTTTTATTCTCAGTTTTATTTTTTTTATTAGGTAAAAAAATTATATGAAATAATAATTTAAAATTAAACTAATACTAATTATATTTTTTTATCTTAAAAAATTGTTATAAATAATTTTTTTAATAAAATAATTTTCTGTTCTAAAATTTTTAATAAAGCCTATTATAAAAGCTTAAAGAAAAGAAATAATATTTTAATAACAATAATTTTTATTAAATTTTTTAAAAATTTAGCATAAGATCCAACCGAATTAATAATTAATTTATTAGACTATCTGTAGACTCGAATTCAATTTAACAAAAAAAGAAGAAGATAAAATTAGATGTTTTTCTAAATAATTCGGTTAATTATAAATAGATAATTTTAGACCCGAACCCATGATCACTGCTACTTCAGCAGACGGTGAAAAACAGAGACATCAATTTGAACCAGTGCAGACTAGTTAGTGTGTTTGCAATGCGTTCACCGTCACTGTCAACATGGTTTCGCTACCTAGCCCGCAAGATCGAATACTCTGTCCATGTTGCCCAGAAGGTGTTTCTCTTGTTTTTTTTTGTTTTTTTCTCGTCCTCCACCTCCAACCCTCTCTTAATTTTCCTTTTTTAATAATTATTTATCTCACCTTTATTGATGCTTAGTATCACAATCAACCAACATTATATTAACTATTAAATTGTTTTCTTATTTATTTTTCTCTTTATGACTTAGTACCGGTTTTAGGGAACATTTAAAGCATAAGTGAAATATCTAAGCTACCCTAATCCTAACTTTGACTATGTTATAACTATTTTATAGAACTTCAATTTGAGACATTTGGAAGAATTGCAAAAAATCTACTAATCAGAGATATTTAAGGTAATAGGATTTCTTTTGTTCAGTCCTAGCGTCAAGTTTAAGATGGATGGTGTGTGTACCTGTAAAAGGCATTGCAACCCTGAAGTTAGGGTTTGGACTAGTGTAGAGCATGCATCAAAGATGCATATTTATAAGTTAAAATTATTTATTTATAGCAAGGAGTGGTTGATTGGAGAGAAATCCATTTATGTCTCCATGTAATTGAGGGTTGATTGATATCCTAAACGATTTTATTTTTATCCCTTAATCCGTCTAAGTTTTATTGTTGTGGAAATAGTACAAGCTTTACCTGTATTTTTCCGTAATGTATCACAACATTAGCACTTAAAATTCCCTATTTGTAAGTCGTTTCAGAATTCTGATTGATTTTATGATGTGAAACAGAACTATGACGGAGGAGCGATTACGTCAAGAGAGCAAACTCAGATGAGAGACATTGCTTATAAGAGTCTATTAATGGAAAGGATGACGACATACTTTCACCTGATTAATATTAAAGGAGAGCAGGGGACTAATGCTGGAAGAGGAGAAACCCTTCTTGTTCGGAAATTACCAATTGCAGATTCAACGTAATTTAATCATGCTCATTTTGTGTAACATATGCTTTCAGTTTGTAAAATTGTTAGCTGCTATTGTGAGTTGACTGATATGGTCCATTTTATGCTGAGGATGTGTCATTCTCCTGAAATGCAATATTTATTCCATGTCATAACCACAATGTTTTTCATAATGAACTGTACTGTACTATCAGATTAAATAGATTGATTCATTCTTTCAATAATAGAAATTTGGTCTATGGATGGTATGATCTGAGATGTGATCAACCCCACCCCCACCCCCCAAAAAAAAAAAAAAAGTTGTTTCTGACTGACTATTAGTTTAAAGTTTTATAAGTCTTTAATCCCCTTTTCTTGTTTGTTTTAGATTTCCACTATAGTAAAATTTTGACAGACGGTTGACTTTTTCATCTGGGGTTCATTAATCAATACAATCTATGCTAGTGATGTACATGTTTTCTTTGACAGGCGTGTTTTTGTGGGTGATTTAGTGGTCTTGAAGGATCCTGAGAAGGTAGATAACTATCTAGTCAGACGATTAGCTGCTGTTGAAGGTTATGAAATGGTTTCAACTGACAAGAAGGATGAATCCTTTGTTCTTGAGAACGATCAATGCTGGGTAATAGTTGAAAATAAAGAATTGAAACCCAAGGTAAAAATGCACTACTTTTCTGGTATATATGGAGCATATCAATTGGCATTAACATCTTATTACGAGACTGAGAGGAGCAAATTCAAACCAGTAGATCATTCATGTGAGATTGAAAGACTAGATCCTCTCATCTCTTATAATATAATTGTTAGATATTAATAATTATATGGACATTAGCAAATTTATCATTACCTCTGCCTCTATTTGAAAAGCTTCATAATTTGTATTGATGTTGAAAAAGAAATTTCATGAGTAAAATATATGGTAATCAAGCAAAGAATTACCATTGATATGCAAGCATATAAGATTAGTAGTTGGACAATAAAACAACTTTCTGTTTCTACTTTTTAAGATAGTTAAATTAGGCATAATTTGGGAGTTTAATGATGTTGCTAACCCCCACAGTTTCAAATTAATTAATGCTTGTCTTTCTCTCTCTCTTTGTTTACTTTTCTTTCTATACTAACAAGGATTTAAAATTCGTGTCACACAAACCCATAAGGTTTTGTGCATGTGTTGCTCCCAAATCTCTCAAGTTATATTCTTAAACAGTTGGAAAAAGAGAATGTTATTAGTGAAAGTTGTTGAACTAATTTGTAGTAATTATGCACAACTTTTTTTTTTTTTGGTCCCTGCCTATTTGATGCCTTTGACTCTTCATTATATTATTTGGATTTTGGCCATGTGAATTTAGTTCATGGTATTGGGTTCCTTTGACAGCACACAAGCTGTGAAAATGTTGCGAGACCAGGAGTGAGCTTCTATGGAGCTTAGAAAAAGACGAGAAAGATCGCAATAAGATAAATTTAAAAAAAGAAAAAGAAAAAAGAGGTGGAAGGAGAATATTGGTACTTGATTTGCTAATTAATAATCATGTCTGATTCTATCCAATTTGAAAAGGCAAGCTGTTAGACACTATTATATGTGTAAGGGTAAAAGAGGGATGATGGGGGCCAGAACAAACTTGCATCTGTGGCAACAAGTTTGGGAAGCATGGTGGTAAAGTTAGAGGCTGCATGGGATATAAGGGAAAAGGGGGGAAATGAGAGGGGAAGGCAATCGATTGGGTAGTTTTGGATGGCTCTAGCCATAGGGCAGAGAAGTTTTTCCTTTTCTATTTTGTTTGCTTTGATTATCAGTTTCTATACGTTCTTCATATTGATATTGTAATCAGAGCACTGTTCTGAGTATTTCCTTTATTGATCCACAGTCAATTAAATTCCTATCTCATGCTTTCTTTCTTTGTAGTTTTGGCACTTTCTCTCCCTACCACTGAAACCCACAAAATCGCTCATTAATTGTGGAGTGAGCTTGTTGAGAACTGGAAAGTGGTTAATAATAACTTCAGTAATTACAAAATAAACATCTAAGAGTGTATGTTTAAATGGGAATACAATGTATTAAAAACCTTATATTTTTTGTCTTTTTCCTTGACATATTGTTTGTGGAGAAGACGGTAGAATCTTGCCTTAGGTGGTTTGAGCATAAGTGGAGAAAGATCAAGAGAAACCCCCGCGCCTAGTGGAAAAAAGCTTTTATTATTGTTGTTGTTCTGTTTCCTTGACACCTTGCAGCTTTGAAATTATGTAGTTGAATGTTTCCCTAAAGGTTATAGCGGTAATATGTTTGTGAATCCTTAGATGCTAATAAAAAAGGAATGATTATTTGTTTAATTCATCAACCCGAATGGCAGGAAGCCAGGGACAGTTGAACATTTGGTCCAGTTAACATGGCAGATATTGTGGGCAGAGTCATATATCGCCTAAGAACTTCTGGAGACCATGGCCGTGTACGGAACAGGTGAACTAGATTTCTGAGCCTACTTTCTTATATACAATAGTTGGGTTAATTTTTTTATTATTGATATAATTTACTCCTTTGCCAGCCAAGCCAGCATGCTAGATGATTGGCCGGTGTTGGCAGCGGAACTTGATGTTGAGGATATGTCAAAAAAACAGAGAGCCTAGAATCTTTGGTTTACATTCCTGTGGACACATGGGAAAACGTGCTTCCCATCCATCTTTCCATGAATGGAATTAATAACAAAACTTATGTTTCGGAGGTGACTATAATCACGTTTTATCGTGAAAACTATAATTTATAGTGTTAGAATGAATCTATGAAAACTATGATTTAGTGTTAGAATGAATCTATGATTGAGCAGAGTAGATTTAACTTTAATTCGAACACTCTCACATGCTTTGGTCAAACGGTTATTTGTCTGTTTCAAAATCCAAAAATACAAGCTAAAAAGTGAAAATCCATTTCCTGATCAGCAGTAACTAGCAGATTTTATTTGAAGCAGAGCAAGAATAAGATTTGGAATATTTTCCACTAGCATGGGATGATGGTGTTATGTGATGTTCTTAACTACGTGTCGAGTAATAAAATGTTTCAGAAAAAGTTGTCGTAAAGCTACTAAGCTGAAGAAGCCCTTATATCGATTCATTAACTTTTTTTTATTAATCCCCTTAAAATTTTATAAGGAAAATTTTCAAAATATAAATATAAATATATTTAATATCTCAAATGTTTTTTTAAAAATTTGATTATATTTTCCATTTAGTAAGTGTATATTGGCATTGAGATGATTAGAATTAGGAGTATTCAAAAAATGTTTCAATTGAGTGCGAAATGCCAAAATTCCGAATGAATTAAAAATCAATAAACTCAAAATTTGAAAAAATGATTAATAAAAATGATTGAATTAGATTGAATAAGGTTGCAGTTCCATTCAAATTTACACCCCGTATACATAATTTCATTTATGAATTTACTCTGCAACTCAGTTGTATTAGTATAAGTAGAAATTTTTAAAAATTACTATACCCATTTATTCTCTTCATAATTTCATCATCTCAGTTATGTCTTATTGTTAAGATTTGTATGCGTCTTATTTCAATTTTTTTTTAGGGCCATTTTGACTATTATTTATAATTTAGATTTAGATGTAACAGTTGACAGTTTAAATTATCCTTTATTGTGATTAGTGTGCAGATTTATTTTATTTTTTAATATTAATTGCATGATTTGCAGCACAAACACAAAAAAAAAATGTTTATTTCACGTGATTTTTTTTTTGTTGCTAGCCTAAAAAAACACAATGTTCCAGCACGAGGATTTCGGTTACCCTTGACGCCGAGAAAGTCCCTTATCAACGGGCAACAACAAAATAAACCTGCGAGAGCGAATTGAAGCAAAGCTTGGCGCAATCGCCACTGAGTTCGGCCGACAATGCATCTGGTCGCTAACAACGTTGCCGGTGAGCCTCTTCCTGTATCGCCTTCATCAACCTTGTGCTGTACTGTCATTCCCTCGTCCTAATTTTCTCCACCCTAGCTAGGGCTTTTACTGTGTTGATTTCACTCCTTTATGTCATTTTTCTTTGCCTCACTGTATACGCGATTGTAATAAAACTCTAGTACTAAATATGTTTCCATTATCAATTTTCTTTTTTAGAAGCAGTTGTAATATTGAGGTAAAAAATTATGCGCTGCGTTTTAAATGTTTGTGCTGCTGTTCTCATATTCAAATCCGAATTTTACCTTGGTAACATGTACAATTTAGGTCGGGTTTGGTTACTGAGGTGAAGTTCTAATTTTGATTCGAAAATGACACTAAACCTCGTAATATTTTGGATCTGTACATTCTATCTGTTAGCTGGTTGTAAAATATACATAAATAAATCATGATGGTTTTATTATGACTAGTTCATCCATGTTGTCTGTTCTACAACTGAGCTTCTGTGATTAGCGTAAAACAATTGCGATGTGTATTGTTACTTTAGAGGTTGTGTACTTGGTGCCTAATCCTGGGTTCTGCGATGGAGGGTGCTGGTTTCTGTCATAAATAATAAATACCTTGCTGTTTTTTGGGTTGTATTTTACTTCTCTCTTTGTGGTTTTTGAAGTGGTTTTGGTGATATTGCAGGCTGTGGAGTCTCAGTTGGTAAGTATCTTCCGTGTTTGGGTGTTTCTGGAAGAACAGCTTCTGTATTTTCTTGCTCCTCTCTGGCTTATCACAGAATTTACCCTCGTGTCAAAATAAGAGGGGTAAAATGTTCTTCTATGGGTGCATCTTTTGTGTGTGAAGCAAGGAGGAATCCGGAATCTTTCTCAAGGCAAAACAAGAATGGATTTTCCAGAAGTCGGAACTGGCTTAATGAAGGGAGAGACAGTTTTGAAAACTTTGAAGAAGATATGTTATCTTCTAAAAACAGTCCGGTGATATCTCTATCTAGCACACCAAAATCCCCGGCCAATGCAGTTCCTGGACCTAGAGAGAAGGAGATTGTTGCACTATTTAAGAAGGTTCAGGCTCGGATAAGAGAGAAATCTGTTATTAAAGAAGTAAAGAAAGTTGGAGCCACCCTAGGACAAGGTAAGGAGAGTGGTTCTGTCGATTCCCTCCTCAAGCTACTAAGGAAACACTCAATTGAGCAAGTAAAGAGAAGTAGTAGAGGTGGCAGAGAAACAAAGTTTTGTTCAGACCAGTTGCATGATAATAAGCAAAACAATGACAGCCAAAGCACCAGATTTTCTGATATAGATAGCACTTCAAATAATGAGTCTCAAGAAACCAACATCTTTGTAGCTAGGCCTCCATCAAATTTCCAACGAAGGTCTCCTGTTCCTCGGCTTAAGTATCAGTCTGTCTCTTACAAGAGTAAAGATGTGAATGAAGTCCCTCTAAGTAGTGGGATTAGAGAGAAGGATGAGCAGCAAATAGGTCTGAAGCTTGATTCCAAGCTAGAGCTTGACTCGGAACTAGAACTTGATCCAAAGGATGAGCTTTTCTTCCCAGAAGTGGGGATTGCTGATATGTCAGAGGATGATTCTCTTGATTCTGAGGCTGAGCAGATCTATATTGATGAGCTTGGAGAGGACCAGCATGAGAGTTTGAGTACACTGAAGTTGACTGAATTAAGGGAAGTTGCAAAGTCTCGGGGTCTAAAAGGGTTTTCAAAATTGAAGAAGAGTGAGCTCCTGGAGTTGCTAACTGGAAGCTGATTCCGATCAATGATATGTGAAAGCAAAAACAAGAGACAACAGATTTTATTTATTTTTGTTTTTTAACCTGTGAATCTATCTGGTATATCCTTGCATTGTTTTTCTATTTAGTTCTTCCAAGTGCTTGAGGATTTGTGGATCATTAGAATAGAATAACAACCATGCCATCCATGCCTCGGAGGATTTTGAATGTGTAGTTGTATTCCCATGATGAGATTTATGAAATTTTGTCACTGATTAAAAGTGTGCCATTTCAGTATACTATGCAGTTTGGATATAGAGTGTATTTGGAAGAGCTTATAGAAATAGTTTATAATCTGGCTTGGGTGAGCTTTTCTAGAAGTAAGTATGGAAGGAATTTTATTTTTTTTTAAAAATAGATTAAGTTAAAACTAACTTTTTCTCTTTTATTTTTAAATTTTTTTTTCAATTAATTTCTCTGAAACATGAGGTGTATAAATTAATTTCAACTTTTTTTTACCTGTAAGTGCTTTTGAACAAACTTACTCAAATTGGGTCATTTTCAACTTATAAAAAAAATATTTTCGGCTTATGTTAATAGATTTCATGACCTAATTTATGATACAAATTTTTTATGCAATAAAAGTTTATTAAATAAACGTTTAATTAGATTATTTTCTAAATGCATCGATAATCTTTATCAAACTAGTGTTAACTATGCACCTGCATGTTTCGAAGTTAAAAATAAGTTTTCAATTAAAAAAACACATTTTAATATGCACAAGTACTAATTACATTTTATGCTTTAAAATTAATTTGACCGAATTCTAAAACCAATGGTGATTATATGATTGTTTCAATAAAAAAGAAATTGCACGTTTTATTAGTTAATGACATTCATAACTACTTTTTAACTTGTTTTTATAACTTTTTATCTTATTGATAAGCTTTTTGGTGAGCTTGTAAAATAAGTTTTTTTAAATTTATTTCAAAAAATTTTATAATTAAATTTATATTATCAAATTTTTAATGAGTGTAAAAAATATACAAGAAAAAAATAATAAATAATAAGCTTTTATTGGAACTCACAACTTTTAATTTTATCAATAAATTATATCCTACAATTTCTAATAAAAATTTATTACATGTATGTTCGTATTATATATCAATTGTTATATTATATATATATTCGTGTGCATTAATTTTTTTTAATAAATTATCTACTTAAACACATCCTATATTATTAAACTTCATTTAGTTTTGCTTCTCTCTTTTCCATTTTTTAAGGTTATGTAAGAGAATTATGAAAGCTACAGGTGACCAAAACAGGACCCAGCACAAACCTTTCAAATTTGGTTAGCAAAATAGAAAACAACACAACATGGATTCGACAAAGTTACGCGTATTTATTTCATGATTTAATTCTAAATTATAATTTATATCATCAATTAACAATAAATTTTATTATGATAAGTAGTTGAAAACAACTTTTTTTGTATATTATATCAAAAAAATTATTGAAATAAGTTAATACCACTTATAAGAGTAATAAATTAATTTTCATAAATTATTTATCATTTTTGTTTTTAGTCAACCATTCCATCTTTTTAAGATAGACTAGAAAACTGTGTCTATTTTTAGTTTAGGTCAGGGCTAAAAGTGGTCCTCAGTGGTTTTTTTTTTTGTGACAAATTGTACCCTTTGCTTTTTCTTTGTTCGGTCAAATTGACCCTTTTTGTTGATTTGATGATAGTTCAATTAGGCCCATGTGATATTAGAACCCAATCAGAAATGCCCAAGTCCAAAAGAGGTGTGTAATTAAAATTCGATATTTTTTAACATGTGTTGAATGAGATATGCTGAAAAACATTGAATATATGTTATTAAATAATTTAAACTATCATAAAAATATGCATTGAATATTTTTATAATTTTGAGATAATAAATATTTTTATTTTTAACTTTTTAATACGTGTCTGGGAGTCACATTAGAATGTCCCCTTCCCATTTTGTTCCTTGTTTGTCCAAAAAAACAAAATACTGTGTTTTTGTCAATTGCGAAAAAAGAAAAACCATTGCTTTTGTGTGTCTGGAAACAGCATCACGTGTGGCTTGCCTGCTTGTGATTGCTTCCAATATGAACATTTTCAACATCATCACTTAATATTGCAGTGAGCAAGTGGCGTTAGAAGAAAAAAAAGTAGAATGTTGATTCACATTTCACATGGAAGGGGACCCCAATTTGAAAGTTTAGCCAATGAAACTTGTGAATTGGAGGCTCATCATTCACTAACTTTGACGTGAGTTTCTTTAGTTTATCCAAATCTATTCACTCACATGGGGGAAGAAGGAGGAGACGAGGAAACAAATCCTTTATGATCTTCTATATAAACCATGACGTATACGGCAAATAAAATAAGCAATTAATACCCAATCCACTCTAAGGCACATCATCAACATTTCATATATTTTTATTCTTTAATCATTGTTCTTAAAGCACTGTTTTGTGTTATCAAAGAATTATGTAAATATTAAATAAAAAAAAATTAAAAAGTGCCCTTAAAACACTGATTAAAAAGATAAAAAATACTGTTTGTTAATACTTTAAACAATGTCCATCATTAACAAAACCCATATTGAGTTCTACTCGATTTTCACAATTATTCAATGTTATAACCACAATTCATAACGGTTGTCACTTCATTGATGATAAATAAGTACAGTAAGCGGCACTTAATAAAGGAATAATGAGTGACGGAAACCTTGACTTGGAGTTGGAGGCTAAGCGTCGCTCATTAATTTGAATATTTAATGTACTCTTATGCCCATTTTGATGAAACAAATTTGCAACACAACACAAAGGGTCTCACACATTTTCATATAACACTAAGATATCAAACTCACCAGTCATATTGTGATGCTCATTTTTGCCTAATTCAAAGCATACCCGATTAAATAGGACGCGGAACATAATCAAGAAAGTGGTTTACATGGGCCTATCAATCTAATTCATCTGCTCAAAAGCAAAAAAATTGCACCCTACAATCTTCAAAATCATTTGAAGGTTACGGACAGTACAATGACACCTCATTCACACACCCCATTTGTAGAAAAAAGATGAACTTGCCAACATTGTGATGGAATGGTGTTGGCTCACATGCTTGCCTCAAGTGCCAAGGACACAGCTCAATGTTTAAATGTATTCACGAAGTTTCAGATCTCTATTGCTATTGCTTTGGATCCAAAGGACGATTTGGTTATTGGTACAATTCAATAGCCAGCACCAACTAATTAAGCACTGTGCCACTCAGTGTCAATGGTACCAATGATACTTCACTATAGAATTTGAAAGTTGTATCAAAGTGAAAGGGGTAGATCGGGTTGTAGTAGTAAAGTCCATATTGTTAATGAGTTTTAATGGCTAACCTAACCCTTTTTAGGTGGGTTATACTTGTCACATGGCTCTAGCTTAAGAATATGGACTATCTAGGTTGCCTTGCCTATTTTAGTTTATATCAAATAGACGGTACCAAGATAAAATTATCATGTTTATGAGGCTTATTTTATTTTACTTTTTTTGGGTATTCTCTAAAAAGAAAACTAATTACGAAATTTAAAGTTAATTAGAGTAAAGACTACCTTCTAAAATAATTGATGACACCGTCAATTATTAACTATGAAATGTTTTTCAAAGCTTTCAAATGCGAAATTGTCTACAGAAGAAAAGTGCTTTAAGGATTTAGTGATATTCCAATGTTAACTAATATTATTAACTGCCTACCGACAATAACTATTCTTACAAAGCTAAATTGCATAAAACTATTAGTCTTAATTAATCATTCCACTTTTAACATATGGATATAAAATAACCCATACATGATTTAGTTTTATTTAAGATTGAAATAATATTATTTAGAGATTGAATCAAATAGACAAAATTAAGATAGAGTTAAAAAAATTTAACGCAAAAATATGCAATTAAAATCAGTTTTCTATATTAGAAAAATAATCTCTTAGTATGACAATTTTTTTTATACTATGCAACTTTCTTACACTCACAAACTTGTAAATATAAATTAGATGTACACATAAATATTGCTACAAATAAAATAAAAAGCTATATAATTATTTAGTTTCAAATATAAGTCTCTTATTATTTTTTATAATTAAAGGTATGTTTGTGTTACTTTATTTTACATTTGGAAATTATATTTACTTAGTTTTAAAGGTAATTTATTTTTTAAAATAATACTTATAACCAATTGAATAATAACACAATTTCAAAATCAAAAGCACATTAACAATGCCTATTTGATGTTTAGATTAATTTTTAATTTTATAAGCTATTCATGCAACCAGTTTTAGTTGGTTCCTCTTCTTTCTTGTGATTGAAATGAACTCGTAAAAGAAAATTTAATTGTATTTTTAGTTCTTATATTTGAATTTTTGTATAATTTCATTTTTTATTTTAACTGTTTATATTTGATTTTTTTAATTTTAATTGCTTAAATAAAAAATTTCACTTAATAAAAAAATACAATAGATGTGTAATATATTGATAATTTATACAAATTAATAAAAATATATGTAAAATATTTAAATATAATAATAAAACATGTACAGAATATAATTAAATTTGTATTTAATAAATATTTTTATTTACAAATCTATAAAAATTAATGATAATTTTTAATTATTAAATTCAATTTTAACAATAAAAAATATATAAGTAATATATGAGCAATTAAGAAAAACTAAAATTACACATAAACTTAAACCATGAAATTAAAAATATAATTAAGGCTTAAATGACCGTCAACCAAACATTTGATAACTACCTGAGTAGCGAGAAATTAAGGAAGGGATATACTGTAATTTTCCTTTAACGTGTATTAAAAGTATTATTTATTTCGAAATGTAATGGATCATAATTTTATCTCCTTTAATCAAGTGTTTTTAATATATAAGAATAAAAATTAAAATATGGTCAACAAATTTTAAAGACTCAATTATTCTTTAATTATATTAATTTTTTTAATTATAAACAAATACTTCATGAATGAATTAAATATTTAACAAACCGAAAATTTAATTAATACACAAATTAAGTCTTTTTCGGATATAAAATCCAATAACATTATTAGACTACATAAAAAAAATATTTAAATATATTTCAAATACATGTAATAAGATAGTTAATGATACAAATTAAGATTAATTTTTAAAAATAATTTAATAATTATTTTAAAATTGTATTTTTTTTTACTTAAAATAATTTAATCCGAACACATATTTTTCATATATCATTTAGTTATTTGTACAAAACTATATATTAGTCCATAATAATGTGCCCAACACTTTTTTTTTTCTTAGTTAAATAATATTCATTTTTATAATATTGAATGATTTTTTATAAAATATTTTTGTTGACTTTAATTATTAAAATTAAATTCTTGTGATTGAAAGAAAGTAATTTTATTTAAAAACATTTATTACATAGAAATGAAACAATGCAATAAATAATTTTTAAATAAAACTCGATTGGTTTTAATTTCTTAAAATTAGTCTGATATTAATATTTGTCTCAACAAAAATATATTTAAAAAACAATTTATTTTTGTGCTAAGATTGTTAAGGACCTACCATTCGATGATTTTGATTTTATTTCTTAATATGATCAAAATTTTCCTTTAGTTGTTGGACCCTCTGCGTCAGGCTTTCCAGGTAGCATTGTTGGGAAACCCAGCCATGTCATGAATGAAGAAGAAGGACTTCAGTGACCATTCTACTTCTCAATTCGTTGTACTTTTACGCACTTCAATTCTCATGCTTTGGAATTGATCAGAAAGATCTGTTTTACCAGCGTTCCACTTTCACAACCATGCATATAGGTATGCAAATGCAGTAATCCAAAGCTTCTATTTTGCTAACAAAATCCCTATATTTATTCATTTTTATATATTTTCATGGCTTTCTCAAGTGCCCTTCTCTTAGTTTTTGGTCCATTGGGGATCTTCTATTATTTATTTTATTTTGAGTTTTTTCTGGGTTTTGTGTGGATTAAAGCGGCTGTTATACCTTTGAGGAATTTCTTAACAAGTGACTACCGTTAGCTTTGTTGTTGTTGTTAAAGCTCTTTGTAGAGTTATTTTTCGATTGCCCGTAGAAAGTTGTGTTCTTTCCATCTGTTTTGTGGTAAACCTGGGAGAAGTTGTCAAGAAGAGAGGGTAATTTGAAGTATTTTACTAATATATGGTTCTGGCAGAGAGAGAATTATTACTATCATTTGAGTTCAAAGTGACATTACTGGAGCATTTGAAAACCAAACGTTTCTATTTTTACTTCAGTTGACTTTGAAGATTTGGCTTGCATGTCCCATTTTCATTGGGGTAGGCTTTTATCTGCTATAGCATTTGGTCTATTTTAATGAATCATTGATAATCTTTGTAATTTTGTGTACTAGAGCGGTTTTACCAGGAACTGGAAACTGTTTCAGTTGGTTTCATGCAATGATGCAAATTTATTTTATGTTGGCATTCTCATGCTTATGTGTTGGAGTCCTTAGTTGCTGATCTGTGTTTTAGCATGGACACAAACATATGGTACTAATTTTTAGAATGTTTTTCAATAATGGAGTATTTTAATGACTAATTGTTGCTGAACGGCCAGAACTGGAAATGAATATAAAAATAGAGGCTATAAAATGCAATGAACCTTCAACTATAGGTTAATTGCAAAAAACTCCATGTACTTCGAAACATAACAATTTGACTTCTTGAGCTTGCCAAACGATGTATATTGACTCCTTCCAAGGGTTTTCTAGACATGCACAAAGGATCATGTGTTTGGTAAGTTTAGGTAGTCAAGTTACTGAGTTTTGAACCGCTGAGTTTGTCTGAAATTTTCTTAAAGCTTGAGGGGTTTATGTGCTTTTTAGCCAAAGTCAACATAATTCTCTAGTACCTTTTATGAATGTTCTCTTTTGTTGTTGTTTTTGTAACATTAATTTGTTATATGGTCTTACTGAAGCAGGTCAAACAGATACAACTTCAGTGAAATGTCTTATTAACAGCATTTCTCGATTCATTCTTCTAGTTTCTTGCCAAACAGTGAAACCTATGATCCTTCAGAAGAACTGTGATAATATGGTTGGCGTGTTGAAGCATTTGAAACCAGTGCTCGATGATGTTGTGGATTACAAAATCCCTTTGGATGAAAATCTGTGTAGAGAATGTGAAAAATTGGATATGCAGGTTGATGAAGCTAGGGAGTTTGTTGAAAAATGGACCCCAAAGATGAGCAAGATTCATTGTGTAAGTAATTACTGAGTTTCTTATACTTAAATTAATACCATTATTCAGCAACTGTTATTTCAACGTGTTTAAGATCCTAAGCCTCTCTGGTGGCATTTGAACGAGGTCAAAAGGAAACAATGAACTGCCAATACCTCCCTCATCTGTCTTTCTCTCTGGGAGGTTGATTTTTCAACCTCTTAATTGCTTTGTTCGGAATATTCTATTTTCAGGTTCTTCAAAGTGGGGAATTGTTGATCAAGTTACAGAGCGCTTCACATAAGATTTTTCATTTGATAGTTGGATCCTTAAATTCACCTGCATCTGTTTCAGTTTTGGCTAATATTCAGGTATGTCCAAAGTTGGAAGTTACTTGTTTCCTGATCATTACTCTCCTATCCCACTCCCCTTTGAAAGGAAAAGAGGGGAAAGAAAGTCAAACTACTTTATTTGACAGGAATATTTATTGTCAGTTTTGTGGGTATCTTGTTTCTCAATTGAGTTATGACCCTAATTGCTAGCAACTATTTTAGCAATATATGCAGGAACTTCAGTGTTTGAAGAAGGAACCAGCAATGATCTTTATAGAAGAAGCACTGAGAAATCAAAGGGATAATATTGAACCTTGCTATAATCATCTAAAGGAAATTATAGAGTTACTCAAATTTACATCAAACCAGGAACTCCTGAAAGAAATTATTGCTGTGGAAATGGAAAGGATGAATGCTGAAGCCAATACAACAAAAGGGGACATGGATAAAAGTTACCAAATTGTGAATCTTGTGTGCAATTTACGTGATTATGTGATGAAAATTGAGCGCCCTGAAGTCAAAAGTGGTGTCTCAATCCCACCATACTTTCGGTGTCCTTTATCATTGGAACTCATGTCAGATCCTGTTATTGTGGCTTCAGGTCAGACATATGAGAGGCAGTCCATTCAAAAATGGCTTGATCATGGGCTAACTGTTTGTCCCAAGACTCATCAGAGACTAGTACATACAAATCTCACTACCAATTATACTGTTAAAGCTATGATTGCAAATTGGTGTGAGGAAAATAATGTCAAACTTACAACTGGCTCTAAGCACAATGATTCTGCTCATATTTCATCCCCCACAGATCATTTATTGCATCAAGATTTTGATCGTGCATGTAGCTTTGAGTCTTTAGATAGTAGCAATTCCAATTCGAATCAAGCTGGAAGTGCATTTGGGAAGCAAAAGGATGATAGCTCTTTCAAATCAAGCAGGGAATCCAATAGATGTCAGAATGAAGTGACAGACAACTTTGAGCAACAATCTCCTGCACCTTCATGTAGTAACAGCAGAAGTGAATCATTTTCAAGTTCTATTTCTAGTACTGATTATGTACTTCCATTTCCTGTTTCAAAAGCGGTGTCAAATAAGCATCAAAATGTGGAGTTGTCTGGAGAAATTACTAATGGGTGTCCTCCTTCTACTGCATATAAAGAATTGGGGATTCTTCCTTGGTTATCTGGAAAGCCATTTCATAGCCCTGGATCAAAAATTGGAATGATGGGCAATCAAAATAAGTATAATGTAAATAATAATAATAATATTACTAGTCATTCAAAAGCTGATTCCCATCATGTTTCCAACTTAGGATCTGATGATTTGATCACCACATCTCATGTCAATGAATTGATTGAAGATCTCCAAAGCCAATCATATGAAGCACAAACTGCTGCTGCAGAAGAATTGAGGCTCTGTACCAAGCATAACATGGAGAACCGTATCATTGTAGGCCGGTGTGGGGCTATTATGCCTTTACTTTCACTGCTATATTCAGACATGAAGATAACACAAGAGCATGCTGTGACAGCTCTATTGAATTTGTCAATTAATGAAGAGAACAAGGTCTTAATTATGGAAGCAGGAGCTATAGAGCCACTTATCCATGTTTTACAAACAGGAAATGATGGTGCCAAGGAGAATTCTGCTGCAGCTCTGTTCAGCCTCTCTGTAATAGATAACAATAAGGCAAAAATTGGCCGTTCTGGTGCAGTAAAAGCATTAGTGAATCTTCTAGCCTCTGGAACTCTCAGGGGAAAGAAGGATGCTGCTACTGCTTTATTTAACCTGTCAATATTCCATGAGAATAAAGCTCGTATAGTTCAAGCTGGTGCTGTGAAGTTTCTGGTTCTGTTATTAGACCCTTCTGATGGAATGGTTGACAAGGCAGTTGCTCTTTTGGCAAACCTGTCAACAATTGCAGAGGGTCGGTTAGAAATCGCAAGGGAAGGTGGCATTCCCTTACTAGTTGAAATTGTTGAATCAGGTTCTCAGAGGGGAAAGGAAAACGCTGCTTCTGTTCTCTTGCAACTGTGTCTTCATAGTCGCAAGTTTTGTACCCTGGTTCTCCAAGAAGGAGCTGTACCACCCCTGGTTGCATTATCTCAGTCTGGTACTCCAAGAGCAAGGGAAAAGGTATATGTACCTAATCCTCAGTTCTCTGTCATATATTTTGGTGGTTAAATTGTTGTTACTGTGCTTATACCACTGGTTTACCTGCATCCCTTTGATCAGATGTTTTTCAAGTAGAGAGATAGGAGAAAACATAATTCATGTTTAAGGAAAGATTTATTTTCACAATGGACTTTTTAAGTAACTCAAAAAACTTATGAAAGGGTATACAAACATTGGGGGATCATGGCATACAGTATCTTGCATCATATCATATGCTTAATCTGAAGTGTGGAGGAAATAATAACATGCTGTTCCCATACATGCAGGCACAACAGCTTCTCAGTCATTTTCGTAATCAGCGTGAAGGCGGCACGGGGATGGGAAAATCATGAAGGTAGACAGTTTTGGTTATTTCATTACCCTTTTCATTCTTACCATCTTCTGTTGAGGACTCCTTTCATCATTTTTTTTATTCTTTTTTTGTGTATCACTGGTCTTGTAGTATTTTTTTTTTCCCCTTTCGTTTTGTTGGCTTTAATGGCTTGGTTTCTTTCTAGTGGAGAGGTCTGTTTCAAGAGCGGGTAAGTTATTTCTGAAGCTTTAGCATGGCAAGATGTAAACATAAAACAGCGTTTTGCTGGAGTCATAAGTCACTGTTGTACATATTCTTACATATGGTATAGAATCTTGCAATCTACAATGTATAATTGTACCTTATTTTGCTTGTGAACATTCTCTTTTATTACTATTCATTCAACCCAGTATCATTCTATTTCATTCACTGGGACTTGTATAATAATAATAATAATAATAATAATCCATGCTAAGCATGTGGATTGTTGAACTCACCCGTTCAGAGGTATGCAAAGTTGATTATTGTTACAATTAACAGCGTGTCTATTTGAGAATAATTTGGCCTTGGGATGGTTGTGTTATCATTATTTATGGTTGATATTTGCACGATTCTGGGAATAGAAATTGATATGATCATCATTTAGTTGTTACTTGTTACGTATTGCAATATCGAATACTATAGTTTCTCACAAAGACTTGGGTGCAATAGTTGCACCCAAGTTGGACTTGATGAAATGGGTTAGGCCCAGCGCTAAACAGAACCAACCAATTGTATTTTTACGAATTTTTGGGCTTATTGGTGAAAAAAATTGTGAAATAAACTACGTGATTAAGCATGTTCCCAGTTGCATAATTTAGGAAAAACAATTGTTTATTTTTTAAAGGTTCTTTTAAAAAGTTGGTAACAACAAACAACTTCTAATTTGAAATAAACTGAACCAAATATACTGTTAACTAGATCAAATACATACGTACAAATTTTGCCCAACAGCTGAAAAGCAAGTCAACGGATTTTATTATAAAAATAACATAATTTTTTTTAGCTTATTTCAATAAAATGTTTATATAACTTATTAAAAATAAATTATTTTTAACTTATAATGTAAAATTTTATTTGAAATTTAAACGGCACCGGGAAAGAATGGAATAAAAAGGAGGAAAAAGAAAAAGTGATACCATTGTGTATCTCGCTTTCATTAGAAGTTAAATGTGTCATACTTTGCTTTGACGCACCCAAAGTTTGAGCAAATTTTAACCTTATAACCTTAATCATGATTCACGAGTGAGGAATATATTCCATATTTTTGCACTTTGAAAATCCTCAAGAAAACACGTTCAAGAAAATCTGACTTGAAAAACACAGCAAAAATATCAGTATTATGCTTTGCTTTTCCTCGAGAAAAGAGAAACAAAAAAATGTCCTATGCACGATGCCCAGACTTTGATCTCTAATTTGGAAGGGAATTTACTTAAATTAAGGGGAATCTGAAGTTACAAATTTACCCATTCAATGCACCTATCCAGACTATGGTTTACATGTAATCGGGGCCTTTGATGCCCAAAAGAAAGGCATGGTTTTCCGTTTGAAGAGGGCCAGCAACATCTTTTATTGTGAGTTGAACTTTATAAAATATTAGGAAAAAGAATAAGTAAGATTTATTAAATGAGGAGTGCAATTTACGTTTTCTTGTAAGTCTTAAATTTTTTAATTGTTAACATATAATATGTTTTAAAAAGTTTTAAAGACTTTAGTATTGATATTTTTCTATTTTTACAATTAGTAATTTTATTCACATGCATAAATAATTAAGTTTTTCTTAGTAAAGAGGAATCAACTTGATATTAGGTAACACAAATTTATAATTTATTAAGGAATTCATAATTTTTGTTAATAAATTAATACAATTGTTTAATGAAAAAAGAGAGAGCTTATATTTTTTGAAACTTGACTTATAAAAAGTTACTTTAAGTAGCATTTAATTTATTGAAAGGTAGTTACTAATAATTTTTCTATTTTTACTCCTAACTTTTTAAACAATTTACACTCACATAACATAATCATAATCGGCATTTAACACATTTATCAAACACATTTACCTATCTTAACTTTTAAATTCTTTCAATTTTAAAAGGAGAGAGAAAAAAAGGATATGTAACTCTTTTTTTCTTATCCCTCTAGACTTTATAACTATACAATGATATTTTTTTTTTGGTTGAACTAAACAATATATTAATATTTCCAATAATTAAAACAAAACATTAATAATGTTATAAAAAACAATTTTAATAATTTTTAATCACTACACAAAATATTAGTTGGCTATCATTTTAACTAATGTTAATGAAGCTAAATTTTGAAGTTTCCTTGAACTTTTAAACAAAATCAGAAAAGAAAATGAAAAAGCAAATGGATAGTTATGGGGTTGCAGTGAGATTGAAGTGAGAGAGGGGAAGGGAAAGAGCTGCAACAGCCTGAAGAATTAATTAATTAGACAGCAGTTTCAGTACTTGTTGCCTCCTTAAATATCTCTGTTGATTGTTTATGGAACATGAATCAACCAGCTGTCTATGATCTGTATTATTGTTTTGTGGCTGTGCCTTCAGAACAACAGGCTAAGTCCTATTTGTAGTTAAGTTCCCGAATCCTTTGTACCATCACATAATAACTAAGATTGGGCCCACTCAAGCCCAAGCTTTTCTCCTAAAATCTCTCTCTTCCCAAATCAAATATTTGATACATTTCTACATTTATATTTTTTTCATGTCACGTGGAAGATTAAGAAACTGACATACTATACGGTGTTTGTCTCAAAATTGACACACAATAGTTTTTAAATTGAAAAATAAAATGGTAAATATTTATAATTTTAAAAAATAAAATAAAGATATACTCATAAACATTCCAATAAATTACAAGACACAATGAAGTTCCCTTTTACGTAAGTTAATTAACTCCGCAGTTTCATTCAATCCAAGTGTTGGGCAACTAATTATGTTACATGGATGACTAAAATTAATGTGTCTTTTGGAAGAAGATGACATTGAGCAGAGATGCATTAAACAGGATAGGTGAGTGTAAGACAAAAAAAAGCACGTCCTTAAAAAGTTGGAATTGTACTTGAAGTTCCATCACCGGTACTACTAGTAAATAGAAAGTAAAACATGGTTACTGCTTTTCTTTCTGTTCACCGTTTGCACAACATTTATGCAATCCTGCTTCCTCTCGCATGAATGGCAGAGCAAAGCTCAGTACAATTATCAAGGTTTACCTAAGTCTATGAGACAAAATATTAATAATCTCAACTCATTTACTAGTTTAGGTGCCCTCTTTCTTCACCTGCTACCACCGACACACTTTCGATATATGTATCCCACACCGCAATCAAAACATAAACTTCAAATCAGAATAAATTGTTCACAGTCAGCATAATGACTTTTTTTATTATATAAATAAGCAAAAGATATATCAGGTAAACGTGTCAGAATGAACAAATATAAATTTAATTCTTTAAATTGTAAGTTGTTAATTTTTGAAAATTTATTAAAAAAATCACTTTATTCTTAATTTTTTAAGAATATGTGATACAATTTTACAAGTCAGAATAGCTGCTTCATGATGGTTAATTGCTAGAATATTTATCACATGAACTTCATTCCAGGTGTAACGGGGATTGGTACCACTCTAAATATTACTAATTTGGCCATAGATTCTCACAGCATGTGGGCTAAATTTCAAATTGAGAGTAACAACACGCCTATATGAAGTGTTCTATGGAATTGATTATCTATTATGATGTGAAAGGCACTTCATGAATTGTCAAATACGCTTGAAAGTTACATTTACTTTGAAATTCAATATACAATTTAAAAATAATGATACCCCCAATTCTTATATCAACTAGCTAGGTCCACCCACTAAACTTATTTGGTGGGTGTGATCCGAGCTCATATCATCTATGATCATGAAACATGTGGTGTCTCCGCACATAATTTTGAAATAATGCTTCTTGTTTTCCTTTTTATTTGAAAGATAAGAATATACTTATATATAGGAAGAAAAGGGTCTAAGCACTGTCATGATGGGAACAAGAGAAGAAATTAGAACCAATACATTATTGATGATTGGACGAATTTATATTATAATAACTTGTACAAAAATGTTAAAAACAGGAAAACAGTCTAAGATCATAGTACTAGATTTTGTCATGGACAGCCAAGCAAGAATTAAAAAAATAATCGAAGACAAACAATTCCCTCTCAATGTCGAATATTTATAATTGCCCCCCCTCGGTTTCTTTCCTAGCAAAGCAAAACCCTTTGGTCAACCCAGCTAAACTAAGTAGGAATACATGCAAAGAAAATTTTTAAGAAAAAGGATTTAAAAATGCAGAAGTGAAGGAAAAAAAACAATCACACGCATAGAAGTGGAGGAATACATTAAATGAAGTTTTGAATTTAGAAAAGTCAAAAAATTGACTATATTTATGGGCAAGTGAGATGCAATAAATTAAATTGTCTTTTTTTTTTTTTTAACTACACACTGCAATTAAAAGATAGAATTTTATTTCTATATGAATGTAAAGTACAATTTTTACTTTGGACCCCTTTCAAGTTTAATCTCTGGACGGTCACATTTCTAAACTATCTTTGGGTAGAGCTTGCAGACACAGAAAGAGAGAGAGAGGGTATGAATACAAATACATGTCTTATTAGAAAATGTGAATGACATGAGTTTAACACACACGTAATATTTCATTTCTTTCTTTCGTCAATTTTAACTCAAACCTAACTGCAAAATACAATAATAATAGCTAAATTTTGTTCGTACTAAGGCTAACTACATGAGAGTCTAGCATGTTGATATGTTCAGTTTTAAACTACCCATAATTTAATTAACACAAGCGAACGTGTAAAATATGTTTTAAAAGTTACATTACCAAAGGCAAATTGACAGCTATATTGACTGTGACAATAATGGAAGAAGTGGTGATTATGCGTACAGCTAACGGTGACCGTGGTGATGATGATTTGTAACAGTGTTAGTGATGGTAGACGGCATAAGAAGGATAATTGATCCAATCAACTAGTGGCTTCTTATTTGGGCTTTGTTTTTTGCCTAGTTGTTAATGAGAAAGCATAATGGCAAGGATCCGTCGTCAAGTTTGGTTACATATGGAATATTATGGATGTTGCATCAAATGTATGTGTGGCTTAGAAATACGTATAATGCATATATATTTTCATTCTCGTTTTTTCGGTACACGAAATTTAAGTTTATTGTGTTTAAAATCAAGAAGAGACGTATTCGGTTGATTTTCGATTAATTGGAGTTTATGTAAGGATAGAATGTGCAATTTAAA